TCGCGATCGCTCAGAATAGGCATTTGAACGTTGAACGTTGATTTAAGCCAAATCTTGTGACATCGGCCTCATTTTAACCCTCGCCCGATCTCCAACTATCTCAAGCACACAGAATCGTTATTTGATGCACTCCTTGCAAGGTTAGATGCGTCACTTTTGCAATGTTGACCTTGCGTGACGTTATTTATGACGTCATCAAGGTCATATTAGTTTTTCGTCAATAACCCTTGATCAAATAGAGCTAGCGAGTCGGGAAAGCCACCAATGGACTCAGGAAGGCCTGCCGAATCGAATGATATGCGACATGACCTCTTTCGACCAACTTCGTGACCTGGGGGTGCTGACTGCTGACCTGACCTTGACCTGAGAGTGAGGTCAAAACCCTAAGTTGACCTGACCCAAACAAAAAGTATATCATTCGACGCGCCTGAGCGAGGCGAACACGATGCTGCCAAAATCGGCGCGCTGCGGCCGTTTTTTTTTTTTGCGAAGTTATTCACCAAAAACTGAACCGTACCTTGGGGCACTTGACCTGACCTCAGAGGTCACCGGTTGACCTAGGACCTTAAAATCGGGTACCAATCTCTGCGTCTCGTAACGGCGCACACGCTCGTTTTTTCCGCGACGCGCTAGCTCCACCAGGGGCGAAACGGCGAGGGGGGTCGTACCCTCCCCCCCCCCTCGGCCGGCGCGTATGTAGAAAACCAATAGGTCCGGCGAGGGTTAAGGCATTTCTCGATGTTGCGAGTGCCGAAACCGGTGATAGTGAGCAAGGGACCCCAATTTGGCTATCTAAACTCAAAACTAATGTTAAGGTAGGATGGTCACTTTAAGGGCATAGCTAAAGCTAAGCAAGAACTTGTGGCAGCACCCCGGGCCCAATACACAACCACTTCTCCCCTGTCCGGTTCACCGTTATGAAACTAGTGTGGAAGTCTGACATATATCAGTAAATGACAGCATTTTTCTCCGGGTTCCAGCGTCCATTATATTTTTACAATAATTAGATGGTTGTTTTATTTAATTACATCTGGCTGGTGAGCCGGTCGTCTCCCGCTGATTGCCACTCCCGCCTACCGTCGACTGTGTCACAGGTGGGTGCCGGGCGCCATGGACGACCCGGACCTCTACGACGACATCCTGGGCGGCACGCTGTCGACGGAGCGGCCGCGCTGTGTGGAGGTGCTGCTCGAGGTGGGCGTGCACCGGCGCGTGCTGCGTTTGCCCGAGAACACCAGCTCACCGCTGAGCGCCGTGCGCACGGCGGCCGCCCGCCTGCTCGGCTCCGACGCCGGCCTGCGGGACTCCCTCGGCTCCGAGCACCTGGTGTTCCAGCGGCGCAGCCTCAAGTTCGACACCTGGGTGGACATGGTGGCAGTCGGCGAGCGGCCGGTCGCGGACGGCGAGCGGCTGCGCGCGCTGACCAAGAAGGTTCTGGAGGCCGGCGAGGTGATGAGCAGTGACGGGGAGACGGTGCGGGACGCCAGTGACGCCGACCGGGGCCGGAGTGGGGACAGAAAACGGCGCCACAAGAAGCGGCGCCACGGGTCGCGCAGCCGGCGGCGGCGGCGGCGGCGGCACCACCGCAGCAGCAGCAGCGACTCCCGGTCACCCAGCGGCGACAGCGGCCGGGAGGGACGCCGCTCGAGCGGGAGCAGCCGCCGTCGGGAGCGGCGCCGACACTCGGGTCGCCACCGGCACCGGCGGAGCAGGAGCGTGTCTAGCGAGTCGGGCTCCGACCGCAGCCGCAGCAGTCGCCGCTCCAGCAGCGTCAGCAGCCGCGGCAAAAGCAGCAGTCGGAGGAACAGCAGCACCTCCAAGCGCCGCGGGCCGCCCTCTCCTCCAGTGAGCAGCGTCAAGCCGCGCGTCCCCCCTCCGCTGAAGGTGTCGGAGCAGGCGTGGCAGCACATGGACCCCGAGTTTGCCAAGCAGCTGCGCGAGTACGAGCTGGACCAGGCGCGCCGCCAGGACAACGAGGAGCTCCGCAGACACCTCTCCGAGCTGGTGGAGATCTCGGATGGCGATCTCTCCGTTTCGGACGACGAGCCGCCGCCGGCCTCGGGCGCCTCTGTGGTGGTCAGCGAGCTGGGGCAGCGGGTGCTCGACCGGCTGAAGAAACTCAGGGAGGAGTTCGGTGGAGGGGACCAGGCGCAGTCCTCCGCCGACAAGGAATCAGACGAGGCGCCGGAGGAAAAACCTGAGCCAACGCTATCTAAAGGTACGCAAACACGACACAATTATAATCGATTCTTTTATTCAGGAGCTACGGCGTTGCTCCTCCAAACCACACAGTACCTTTGGTAAATGTTGTTGTAAGCTAGGGTCATTTGTCGCTTCTTGCCACGCTGCTCAGTTTTCGAGAGTTGGGGAAGCTATCCGCTTTGTTTTATTTAATTTTTGCATGATGAACAAAACCAGTACACTGAATGCTGATCACGCTAGTACCCAGATCCGGTTCGAGCGCGTCCGTAAGTGTCCTTTCCACTGGGGACCGGGCTATTCTCAGTGTGAGTTGTGACGCCATCCCCGTCGACAGGGGGTCCGCTATACGCCTCCTTCTTAAACCTGGAAAGCAAGCACCCGCCGATGGCCCTGAACGAGTACTGCACCGCTCGCGAGTGGGAAGCGCCCGTCTTCCACCTTACGGAGAAGCCGAGCAACAGCAAGAAACAGAAGATGTTCACGGCGGCGGTGAGTGGCGCCGAGATAAGGCTATGGTTGGAGTGGTGGTGCGTTTGTTTATTGTGGAAGCCCCATGGTAGCTCACGAGCCTCAATAGCTCAGAGCCTTAGAGGGCCCGTCCTCTGTCCTGCTGTTGGCGTGTCCTCAGTGTCTGTCCTCAGTGTCTGTCCTCAATATCTGTCCTCTATGAAAGTCTTCTTTGCCTGTCCTCTTTGACTGTCTTCTGTGTCTGTTCTCGATGTCTGTTCTCCATGTATGTCCTCTTCGTCTATTCGCTATGTGCCCTCTGTTCCCTGTCTACCTGGTCTAGTGTATCTGCCTGCCATGCTGGTTTTCTGCGCTGCCGCTGATATGTCTCAGTGGGTCCTTCCACCTTTCCGCTCACCAAGGGCCACTTGATGCTTCAGGTGCGTGTCAACAAGAGGATGTACACGGTGCCCTTTCCTGTGGTGAGCAAGAAGGAAGGGAAGCGGCACGCCGCTCAGTACTGCCTGCAGAAGCTGGGTGTGCTGAAGGGTGGCGAAGTGTACAAGAGGATGGAGGGTGAACAGGATGTGATCTAGGGTGGTTTCACAGGATCGATGTGCGCCATCTGAGGTGGCGCCGTTGACGCTGGCCGTTATTTCTGTGACAGCTGTACCAACGTCCTGTGCTGACGCTCGTTAGGCGGGTATATCAGCGACCGCGGCGTGTGTCAGCGATGTATAACATGGTGTGTGCTTCACGTGTGTTAGGGTCTCGGTAATGACTGTTGACGATTCCAATGTCCAACCAGGCGAGTGTGGTGCGGTTGTCGTCTAGATTGGCGCGGCGCGGACGTTGCGGGCCTGGTGTTATTGTCGGTGTGTTTGCCGTCTCCGACGAATTATTTGTGTTTGGTTAGGAGTGTGTTAGGATGTATGGAATATCGTCTAGTGAGACCTTTGGTGGAACGTTGCGCGAAGCAAATCCAGCCCTTTACAACTTTTGCTTGGTGACTATGTTTCTTTAGCGGAATAAAGTGAGTCGTTTTGACTCGATTTTTGCTAATGAGCAGGTGGGAGTGTGGACATTGACTTCACTCGTGCAAATGTCATCCAGGATTTGAATGACTCGGCAGACGTTTCGGCCCGTGATTCGGCGAGGAAAATATTTTGGCCCCACTTCACTTTATTGCGTGTATAGCGAAGTCCGTGGTGCTTGGCGCCGCGAAATGATCCACATCTTACCTACAGGCTACAACACGTCAAATAGGTATGCATCCTCTTTTACACTAATTATCCAATGTTAAACTATAATTTAGCTTTCAGAAGCTTCTTACTCCAAAATGTCTATACCTAATGCCTATGATAAATTGCGATTTACTTAAAGGGACCCTCCCACCTTAACATTAGATTTGAGTTGAGATAGCCAAAATGGGGTCCCTGGCTCACAATTACCGGTTTCGGCACTCACAACATCGAGAAATGCCTTAAATCGGAAATATTGAATTTCAAAATTGCAGCATTTTGATTCAGAGGGGCTAATGCATAGGAATACCCCTCTGAATGTGTGACGTCATCGCAGATATCTAATGATTTTTAAATGTTTGACTAAAACGTTTTGTAGCACGCGGTGGTATATGCTGTTTTGCGCGCAACAAATGCCGCACTTTCAAATAAGGTCGCTAGGAACAGCGGAGATCCCAAAAAGTAAACAAAAGTAAAAGTCTAATATCTTGAAAACCGGTGAATATTTTTCGATGAAATTTGGTAGATATTCGGTTTTGCTCTTTCTGAACCGAGCGACATCACTTTCATGCCAATTCATTAACTTTTTTGAAGGTGGGAGGGTCCCTTTAACGACCTTGCCAAAACCACACGTATTTTCAAATCACGACATCTCTATTTTGTACCCTTTGGCAATGAAAACTGAACAGAGTACAGCTGATTCCAAAGGTCAGATAAGGGCATATTGCATGTCTTATCCCATTTTTATCATTACCTGTTATAGAAAGAGCTAAAATGCTCTCTGCTTCTAGTCTTGATGTGGTCATTTCGTTGAGACTCATTCGTACTTACGCTGCATGCCCAGCTTTGGTCAGGTGAATGATCTTGACCTGAGATCAATTTTTGGTATTTGACCTTTCACGCTAAAATTATTCTTAAGGTAATCGGCGCGTTTTGATGGGAGGAATTCAATGGTGGTAAAAATACAAGCAAACACGGTAATTGATCGATGTCTAAGCCTGATTTATTTATGACATGCCTCCATGGTGGGCTTTGAATTATGAATACATATAATAAAACTATCATTACACCTTCAGCGACCCAATGGTGACCACAAACGCCCGTGTCCAGCGCTGGCCGGGTCAACAGCCTCAGTGCCACCACCGTGACAGGTCGCGCCGGCCTCGGCGCCACTGCGTGCGACGCTGGCGTGGCGTGGTCGCGGCTCTGACCCGGTGTGTGTCCCCATATCGACACGAGACTGCAGCGGCGCCGGGCCGGCCGACAGTCGGCGGGCGGCGGGCGGGACGAGCGGCCGACGCTGACCACTGCAGGTGGAGCGGTCGGCCGACGCTGACCACTGCCAGCGGAAGGGCGGCTCCTCGCCGACCATGCTGCTCGAGCTGCTGACGGTGACGGCTGCGTTGCTTCACGGCAACAGGTGAGCAGAGTGTCGTCCTGATATGGAGCTCACTATGAAGCGCGTCTCAGGTGGGTTCTGAGAACGCTTCTAATGGGGTTTTGCGGAGCTTGAAATCGTCACAGTTAAGATCTATTTACCATTTAATATCTCTAATACATGAAATGGGGAATCCGTATTTTCCTAATTCACCAAAGCCTGACTAGGTTTTTGTCGAATAGCAAGTGCAAACGCATGAAAAGGAAAAAAGGAAAAGCATGAAAATTTCTCGCGCATGTTGTTCAATGTTTGTTCAATGTGTGCGTATCAATCAGGGGAAAGAAATCGGTGCATTACGTATTTGAATCCATCACTGGCTGAGGCTGAGTGATGCCGTTTAATTGTCGAATTTCATGTGATGCATAAGATCTTGTCGAGTGCTTATCCTGAAATTCTGTAGCTCGTTGCAGCTGCTGGCCCATACGCGCGTTAGTAGACATCGGGTGTTGTGTTCAACGTCCCGTCTTGGAATCCGAGGCCATGGGACATCTGAGATAAAATCGTGTGACATGGCTGGCACGGCTGTTTTACTGCGGCGGTCAAAGCCATGGAGCTTCTGTGACCAAAAGCAAACCATTGAACGATTAATTTGATGCATAATGTAATCAGCCTGATCCGACTGATATTTAGCCACCGTAGTGAAAAACATTTCTCTTGTGAAAAAATAGCAGCATTTAGCTGCACAATATGCTATTTATGCCATTCATGATATCGGGATCCCGGTCATCCTAATCCCGGGAATCGGGACTGACACCATCCCGAGATCCCGGGAGATCGACTTCCCTACTGAAAATTCGTCATTTTTTCTTTGCAGAGATATCTTGCACAGGTAGGTAACCGTTCTGTTCCGCCAAGTGAATTTAAGAGACCATTTGTCTTAAAAAGGTTTTAACCCGCGCCGGTCCGGGGGGTGTTTGAACACCCCCCCTGCGGTTCTTCGCAGATATCTCAAAAACGGCGGCACGGAGCGCCGCCGTTTTTGGCACACCTATTCGTGCATCTTTTTCGCACATGTTGTAAAAATTTCAGACTCAGGTCACCTTAGGTCAGTTCACCAGGTCACGCCAAGTGACCTCACCTCAGAAAAAAAAAACAAGAATGCTCGTCATAGCTACACGACTGAACGATTGCCTTGAAACTTTCAGCGATTGATTAGAGCAACACTATCTATAAAATGTATATCTCGGAATTTTGATATCGGTGACCTAAGGTCAGGTCAATTTTGCGGCCTCTCCATTACACACAGAAAAATATTGACACCGTTAGCGGTGTAATTGCACAGTACATATCTGAGCACTTGAGGAAAGTTAATTTAGTCCCTTCCCCGCTTAAATTACTCGCGCTTCCAAATGAACACCAGGAAGAAGGTAATAGAACACTGTTAGGAGGGTTGGGTGTTTTACTACATGTAGCAAAACACCCAACCCTCCTAACAGTGTTCTATTACCTTCCTCCTGGTGTTCATTTGGAAGCGCGAGTAATTTAAGCGGGTAAGGGACTAAATTAACTTTCCTCAAGTGCTCAGATATGTACTCTGCGATTACACCGCTAACGGTGTTAATATTTTTCTGTGTGTAGGTAGGCAGTGGGAGAAAATTGAAAAGCGTCTGTTTTGCACGAACGCTATTCTACACACACTCAAACATCGAGATGTAGGTAAAATTGACACACTGAACCAGAAAATGGCAACTGTGACCCCCCGGTATGTCCCCGAGGTCATCTCAGGTCACGAACAGAACCTAACAGTTTTTCGCTAATAACTTCTGATAGAGGCGTGCTAGAGCGCTGAAAACGCCTTAGATGTGTTCGGCTCGACGTTGCGGATCGACTGATATGCAACATGACCTTTTCCAGTCAGGTCATGACCTTGACCTGAGGTCAAATTTTCAAGTTGACCTTTCAAGGTTTAATTATAGTTCATTCGACGCGTCTCGACGAGAGGAACACGATGCTGGCAAAAGTAATGTCATGGCTCTTTTGAGTCAAAAGCTATTGGCGAAAAAACGCTTTTCGTAAAAACGGCTATTTTTGGATTTTTTGCCCTCTGGAGGCTAAACCGTTGACCTGAGGTCAAATCTGAGACTATTATTCAGAAAGGTCTGTAAAAGGGCTATCGAATGCGCTTTTCCGCGACGCTGTAGCTCTATCGGTTCTCGAGATAGCCGTTGGCAGTTTCCAAAATGTTGAAATAGTCAACATTTTACCTTTGGTGACCTCTTGTGACCTGACCTTTGACCTGACCCAAAAAATGACCGAAGTGTTTTCGTCCTTATTTTGGACGTTCTTTCGATTTCCGCTTACTGCGTGTCGCTACGTGGCCCAGGAGCCGAGTTAGAAGGGGGTGTTCATACACACACACACACACACACACACACACACACACACACACACACACACACCCCGGCCCGGCGCGGAATCTGAGCACCGGCCCGGCGCGGGTTAATAAAGCTTTGATTATGGTGGTTGTGCTAAGACTCGCCGGACTCGCCGCTAAGATTCGCCCTCGCCGGACCTATTGGTTTTCTACATATGCGCCGGCCGAGGGAGGGGAGGGGGGTGTACGACTCCCCCCTCGCCGTTTGGCCCCTAATGGAGCTAGAGTGTCACGGAAAAAAACGAGCGTGTGCGCCGTTACGAGACGCCGTTACGCCGTTAAGAGATTGGTTCCCAATTTTAAGGAATGGTGAGGTCACGTGACCGACCTGACCTCATGTGACCTTTAGGATTTTGGAAAAATCCGAGATATAGGTACAAGTTGTGAGACCTCTGAAGGATACTAGGTCCTGTAAGTTTCATCTCGCTGTGAAAGCTCCTCTCGCACCGAGGGCGTTGCGAAGTTGCGACATCTGAAGACCGTACAGAGGTTCACTTATGACGTCATAGGTCAGTGACCTGAACTGACCCGAAAATGTGGTTAGTGTCAAAAGATTGGCCTTGAATCAAAGGTCAGGTATGCAAAGTTTCAGCTCTCTATCGTCAGCGTGTTTGGAGCTATCGCGAAAAAAAAACCTGGGGGGCGGCATCCCCCCTCGGCCGGCGCGGATTAACGTTCCTATGTTTTTCCGTTAAATGTCTATCTGACCCATGAAATTAAATGCAGCAATTATCTTTGATCAATCGTTAGTCATTCATCGATATTAACCCTCGCCGGCCGAGGGGGGGGCGGCGGGTGCCGCCCCCCATAGGGTTTTTTCGCGATAGCTCCGAACACGCTGGCGATAGAAAGCTGAAACTTGGCATACCTGACCTTTGATCCAAGCCGCATCTTTTGACACCAACCGCACTTTTGGGTCAGGTCAGGTCACTGACCTATGACGTCATAAGTGAACCTCTGCACGGTCTTCAAATGTCGCAACTTCGCAACGCCCTCACTGCCAGAGGAGATGTCACAGGGAAATGAAACTTGCAGGATCTAGTATCCATTATGAGTCCCACAACTTGTATATCTCGGATTTTTCCTAAAGGTCATATGAGGTCAGGTCATTTTCGTGACCTCACCATTATAAGTCAATGGGGAAAAATGAAAACTGCTATTCTGGCGCCGGGAACGATCTCCAACTATCTCAAGCACACAGAATCGTGATTTTATGCACTCCTTGCAAGGTTAGATGCGTCACTTTTGCAATGTTGACCTTGCGTGACGTCATTTATGACGTCATCAAGGTCATATTAGTTTTTCGTCAATAACTCTTGCTCAAATTGAGCTAGCGAGTCGGGAAAGCCACCAATGGACTCAGGAAGACCTGCCGAATCGAATGATATGCGACATGACCCCTTTCGACCAACTTCGTGACCTGGGGGTGCTGACCTGACCTTGACCTGAGGTCAACACCCCAAGTTGACCTGACCCGGACAAAAAGCATATCATTCGACGCGCCTGAGCGAGACGAACACGATGCTGCCAAAATCGGCGCTCTGCGGCCGTTTTTTGCGAAGTTATTCACCAAAAACTGAACCGTACCTTGAGGCAGTTGACCTGACCTCAGAGGTCACCGGTTGACCTAGGACCTTAAAATCGGGTACCAATCTCTGCGTCTCGTAACGGCGCACACGCTCGTTTTTTCCGCGACGCGCTAGCTCCACCAGGGGCGAAACGGCGAGGGGGGGTCGTACCCGCCCCCCCCCTCGGCCGGCGCGTATGTAGAAAACCAATAGGTCCGGCGAGGGTTAAGTTAACATTCGCCGGCCCTATCGTTTCCTACATGTGCCTCGGCCGATGGGGGGGGGGGTGGGAGGCTCCCTCACCATTTCGCCCCTAATTGAGCTAAAAAGTCGCTGTAAAAATGAGCGTGTGCACGGGGCTAAAACGCAGCGATTGGGTTTCATTCATAAGGTCGTAAGTTTAATCTTCGGTGACTTCTGAGGTCGACAAATGCCCGCAGATAGGGGCTCATTTTCATGAATAACTTTCCCCAAATATGGTCCTAAAGCCGCGAATTTGGCACCAGCGTGTTTGTCATGATCAGGCGAATGTTGACCTCAGGTCAAGATCAGATCATGGCCTCTCAGGTATGTAATGTACAGGTCTCGCGGATTTTAACGATAGGTTTTGCACCTAGAAAATTTACGGTGTACTTCAGACTATATCTTCGTCGTCTTAAGTTAAGTGTTGAAGATGCGATCGACTTGTTGATTCACAAGCCGGTCATGATCGTGTAAAATGGCTTCATCGTAGATCGATTGGTTTCTGAGATATAACCGGAAATGTAAAAGTGCAAAACCTACCGCTTAATCTGGCAAGAGCCGTACCTAACCAGCCTCGCCGAAGGAAACATCGCATATCATTCGATTTCGTAAGTCGTTCTGAGTGCAGTGGTAGCCTCTCTCACTCGCTCGCTCAATTCGATCGGGAATTACTGATAAAAACTTCGTTGATCTTGGTAATGTCGTATATGTGTATCACGTCACGCAAATGGGGTCAACAATACAAAAGTGAAGCATCGGACCTTGCAAGGAGTGTAGGTATAGTTAAATGTTGCTTCCATATCCATTTCCCCAAATGAATGATAAATGGTTAGGTCACGTGGCCGACATGACCTCAGGGGACCTTCCGGAAAAAATCCGTAGGTATAATACAAGTTTTGAAGGCTCCGGAGGTTTATGAATCCTGTAAATTTCATCTTCCTGTGAAAGATCTGGCGCTTAAAGTGCATTGCGAAGTTCTGGAATGGAATGCCAAAGAAACAATCTTGGCAGCAGGTATGCCTGCTTATACTATAGTTAAATATTCAGAAAATCGAATTCGTCTTAGACCGACTTGGAGCAGTTTACGCTGTTAGGACTAGGAGTTATGACTGATGCAGCACATTGGTTGCGATGCGCTGATAATGCATCGCGTTTTAGTCCAAGTTTGAGTCTACATCGGGTCACTTACCTTCGTGCGTGGTTCTTCTCTATTATTTGCTGGTGTCGTGGTTAAACAGTTAAATGGTTGCTTGAATTTGTGACAATGGACAATGCCGTGACCAAAGACCATTGCATTACAGTGTTCAATGCGGCTGGTCCAGTAGTATTGTTTCCGTATTGTTTATGACCTTGGCGGTATAACCAGAGAGCTCACGCAGCCGTGGAATAATGGTACTTCAGCTGACAGCTCCTCGCCATAGATATCCGTATCGCTTTGAGGTTTTGCTTCAACGGTTTGTAGCAAACGAGGCCCTTTGTAGAGCCACAGGAGTGTCCGCCACCGTTCCCACACTGGCCCAACGCGGCGCACCATTTTGCCGACAAATTGGAGTGTTTCATTGAAGCTGTGCAGCATTACCATAACGCGGCATGAATATTCGAGCGCCTCAATTTGGTAGATGTGGGGTAGCTAAGAATATAGACGTATCCATTAAAAAACGAACCAACGTAGCGTAACATACCTATCCCTGAATGTCTAATGAATGTTAGTTTTACGAGCATGTATGCTATAATCGCTATTGCCAATGGTGGGGCTAAACTATGCTTATTTAAGCGCAGACACATTTAGGTACGCGAGCGTTTCACGTTTCTGATTCACGGTCGATTAGTACGTCCATGGACGTGGCATTTATAAATGCCACTTTATTTCAGTGCCACTATATTGCAGCTCACTAGCCAAAGAAAAACAATTATATAGCATGCTCTAAATATTTATTGGAATTAGTAACTTATTGAAAACTTTTAATTACAACAGGGACATTCGAAACCATGCAGGATGCTAAAAAACTATTTTGATGTTGAAATCAGGGCTGCGGAGTCGGAGTCGGAGTCATAGTCGGAGTTGGAGTCGGTCGGAGTCAACAGTTCTGCCTGGAGTCGGAGTCGGAGTCGGAGTCGCCAAAGTCTTACCGGTCTTACCGACTTCGACTCCGGAGTCGGAGTTAACGCTGCATGGCTCAACGTCATGCACTGCACCAGTTTGATTGACGATGCTGCGCTCGAAGCTATATTTTGTCGAAAAAAGGCCATTTTGCTGTTTTGGACGAACGTTTTCAACGATAGAAGCAGAAAGACGGTGAATTCCCCTGAACCTGCTTTTTAATTCTGCATGCTGTTTTTAATGCATATTTGCAACGCAAAGTCTTGGAACGCACAAGGGATCGTTTCAGGCAAGATAAAAACATCTCCATTATGAACTCCAATATCATGATAGTGATTTTAATAGGACCGTCTTGAGTCCGAGTCGGAGTTGGAGTCGAAGTCGATTTTTGAAGCCGGAGTCGGAGTCGAAATCGGAGTCGGAGACACCTTAAAATCCATCGACTCTGCAGCCCTGGTTGAAATACATCAAAGGTTTAAATGGTGAAGCTGGAATGTTGTTCTAGCCAGTCACTGTGCTCACTGAAGTTGTTGCGTGTCCAATATATTTGGCCTAGTTTGCCGATCTATTTATGCACTAATGACTGATGTCACCTGCAACCACTGTCGTTTCTCTCCCTCTCTCTCTCTCTCTCTCTCTCTCTCTCTCTCTCTCTCTCTCTCTCTCTCTCTCTCTCTCTCTCTCCCCTCTCTTTTCCCTCCCTCTCTCTCTTCCCATCCCCCTCTCTCTCGCTCCTTCTCTCGCTCCCTCTCTCTGTTTCTTTCTTTCTCTCCCTCTCTCCCCCTCTATCTCTCAGCCCCTCTCTCTCTCTCTCCCTGTGATTAGACCGGGCTGATCAGACAGCGCTGTCTGTTTCAGCGCCGAGCCCGACACAGCTCCACAGTCCACCACCACAGCCGAGGAGCTCATCGAGTACCCCACAGGTCACCTCGCCAATATCAGCCAGGTCATTCCGCCCGGATACGACAAGAGCGCCTTCCCGCAACCGGCAGGTATGTCGGACATTTTGAAAATGTTGTTCTTTTGTGTTACAGTTTGCTAAAATGTCTACATAAATCTGTAAGAAACGATAATATTATATGCATCTACCAACATTTCGGCATGTATGTAAGTATTACTACAGTGCACTTAATTTCGGCACCTCTCTGAGCTAGTGGCAAAAGTCACCCATTATAGCAATTATCAATAAGTCAATAAGCCGAAAATTTATATCACTTTACCCTCGGAGAAGATCTGATCACTGATCATGTGATAGCATAGGCACTTACGTAAACGACTGTGCTTGATTTTCTGGTCAGTTTTGAGACATATGCATTTGCAGACATAGCCTAGTGCTTCAAAAATAACATGATGTGTGCGATCAAGGAATGTTTGTCTTGTGTGGTAGCCTTCATTCAATGGAAATCCCATTCACCAGACATTGATTCGACCAACTGTAATGTCAACAGATGGCGGTACAATGTACTGCTTCCTGCGGCTCGGAGTGGAAAACATTCTCAATATAGATGAACACAACGGGGTGAGTTGTCGACCTCACATTGACCTCCTATGAACGCTTGTTGACTTCTGAGGTCAGGCACCTGCTGGTTTCAGTGGCGACTTCTTTTGCCTTCTATGACGCATTTTGCCCAGCATGAGACTTATTTCTAGTGTCTGGTCGCTCACAATGAATTACAGTAATCAGTAATGTGTCTAAGAATTAAAAAGTACTTTCTCCATGACATTTGACGATATTTGGAACGCCGCTTGCCGAGTGTTGCTACATGGCTCAAGAGATGAGTTAGACGGGATGTTCAAACACCCCCTTCCCAGCCCGACACGGGCGGCGCCGAGCACCGACCCGGCGCAGATTAAGAGAATCAGTGTGGATCAGTGTGAGCGTAAAATGCGAGCGTTGTGCCGGGAGTTAATTACGATAGAGCATTGATTTTAAAGCATTAAACGTTGGCTGTAAATTACTTAGTGACAATGGTCGATTAAAAAGCTACCTAATAAAAACCATCTTTTTTAGTATTCGGTTGGCTCGGTTGATCAGTCGTATTTCGTACGTACAGTCACAAATACTCGTAAGTCCCTCACAAATAAGTCAGTCCTATTCATTAAAGGAAATAGTTCACTTTTAACATGGGATTTTGAACTGGAATAGCAGTTTCGTAGCTTGAGCTGAGACTAGCACAAATCAGGAGCTTTTACGGCTCAACGATCACCCTAGACGAAGATATTCCATTTCTCGTTCTGAAAAGAGTGCCTTGCAGAGGAATGTGTGTCTTGCACAGGAATGCAGCCACGTCATCGTCAGCCAATCAGCATGCTGCTTACAGCTAATGCAGCATGCGTAGGTTTGAACTACGCAATATGATTGGTCAACGCGTAATAAGCTTCCGCGTCAAACATTATTTTACATAGAATATAGTTCGTCCTATATTAAAATATAGAAAATAATTGTTTTTACAAAAAGGTTTTATTTTATTTTCTGATCAATTTGAGCATAAAAAATCGTAAATCCATAGCAAAATACTAATTTCAGGAAAGTGAACTGTTTCCTTTAACACATTCACGCCGGCAGCGACTGGCGAATCATTCAAGTCCACTCGCGTCTGCACCTCGCAGGTGGTGCGCTACCAGGTGTTTCTCTCTGCCTACTGGCCCGACCCGCGGCTCAAGATGCCCAACCTGACGGAGGAGGTGAACAGCGTCACCATGGACCCGAGCGCCGTGGAGGAGCTCTGGCTGCCCGACCTCATCATCTACAACCTGGAGGACGTGCAGTCGGTGCGACTGCTCCAGGACCTCGGCTCGCTCAAACTGCTCCGCAGCGGCTACCTCAAATACGAACTCTAGTCAGTTGCCAGCGGCCTCCTCAGTACCTGAACTGTTTCTTTGTTTCCAATTCTTGATTGGGTTAAATCTCATTATAAATGGGAGTTGTGAATCCGCTGCTTCACTTGTATAGATTCGGTAACTGGTCATTTTGTAAAGGACTTACCTGCTATTTACAAGGATTCTATCGTTCAATAATCCATAATTGGTTGCAGGTCAATGCCTCTGCCATCCTGGGAACACCGAGTTAATTGATACAATACATTTCGCTACAAAGCCTTCACTGAATTATTTTGGAAAAGAATGTCTCTAGGTTCCTCTCTCTCTCTTCTCTCTCTCTCTCTCTCTCTCTCTCTCTCTCTCTCTCTCTCTCTCTCTCTCTCTCTCTCTCTCTCTCTCTCTCTCTCTCTCTCTCTCTCTCTCTCTCTCTCTCTCTCTTTCTCTCTTTCTCTCTTTTTTCTCTCTCTTTCTCTCTCTCTCTCTCTCTCTCTCTCTCTCTATCTCTCTCTCTCTCTCTCTCTCTGTCTTTCTGTCTGTCTGTTTGTCTCTCTCTCTCTCTCTCTCTCTCTCTCTCTCTCTCTCTCTCTCTCTCTCTCTCTCTCTCTCTCTCTCTCTCTGTCTTTCTGTCTGTCTGTTTCTCTCTCTCTCTCTCTCTCTCTCTCTCTCTCTGTCTTTCTGTCTGTCTGTTTCTCTCTCTCTCTCTCTCTCTCTCTCTCTCTCTCTCTCTCTCTCTCTCTCTCTCTCTCTCTCTCTCTCTCTCTCTCTCTCTCTATGAAATGATCTGAGCATTTGAAACAACACCCAGCCAATAAAAAATGTTTTTTGGACGAGACTCTTACGAGAAAAATATTAACTTAATTCAGTTCGTATTAAAACCATTAAATTTTTCAATATCCTTCTTATTTGGTTAACAATAAAAACATGATCGTCATTTTAAAAGACGTATTCCAGATTAGCACGTAACTTTTTATGTAGGTACCGATGCCCCACTTGCGATTTCATACTGTGGGCCTACATATCGGCCATCGGCCTAAGAAATATTCAATAGCTTTTCCTCTTATTCTTTAAAATATCGATTGCGTAACCAGTCTTCACAGATAAGCGACATGAGCATTGCAATGCACATTAGATTGATATTTTTGCATCGTTTCCAGCCTGCGCACCTCGGTGACCTGTAACATGGATTTCACCTCATATCCGTTCGACGTACAAGAGTGTGACATCGAGCTTGGCAGCTGTAAGTGCCATTTTCATACACATCTGTCTTTTTTATCACCAGATGACACAACTTAATTACAGCCAGTACAAGCACCGATTCCCGCTAACGGCATTTCGTTTTTGTCCACCACAAACCTTAAGAATAGAGGGTCGGGCCAAAATCTTATTATATTCCTGCTCAACTTGCTGACTTCTCCCTATCATTTCGTTACATTGCCATCAGAGGATACCGTCATATCTATTACGTTTTATGTGAGCGATGTGCGTTTTGAGTGATTATGCTTCATTACGTTAGATTGCAGCAAGACTTAATTAGAGTGATCGGGATGAAAATTTCGCATCAAGCAGCCGTTATGTCATCACGAAGCTCATTGCCACCCATAGTTCACGAGCTAATTATCCCATTGTACGTGTCACAGACAGCTATAACAGCAGTGTGGTGTCGTGGAACTGGACCAATACTAGGAACATCTACTCCAAAGATCAGCTTCAGCTGAAAAGTTTCACCGTCTCCATCATGATGAGCGGCCAGATCTTGCATTGCTACGGAGACAAGCACGGTAAGAACGCGAAGGGCATCTCTGAAACAAACCAACAGACACGTTTGCATAAGTGTAATCAACTGACATTTGTACAAGGGAAGTTAAAAATGCATGAAGTCGTGTCCAAATGCATGTCATATGAGGAAGTTTTATTCCACTGCTATGCTTTACAAAATTAATGAGGTATGATTATTCAAGTACTTGTGCATTATGCAATGCAATGCAAATTAAATGAGCGCCGTATTAATTTCAGTGTACACTGTACATGGTGCTGCTCAGTGTGGTCGTGTTCAACTGGCAACCTTTTCAACTGGCGCGTGGTAACACCGCCAGCCCGTGATTGTCCTCTGACCTGTGCTCTCCCGGGCGCAGACGTCTGTTTTCAGAACGTGCTGGTGCGCGTGCAGCTGCGCCGTCGCACCGTGTTCTTCCTGTGGCACACTCTGCTGCCGTGTGTGCTGCTGGTGGCCACGTCCTGGCTGAGCATGATGCTGCCGCCCGAGATCATCCCCGGACGGATGGTGCTGTGCATCACCTCGCTGCTGGCCCTGCTGACTCTCTTCACGTCTAGCCTGTGAGTTTAATGACGTTACCTCATTATTGATGTACGTGATCCTGCTGACTCTCTTCACGTCCAGCCCGTGAGTTCAATGACGTCACCTCATTATTGATGTATTGGCCCTGCTGACTCTCTTGACGTCCAGTCTGTGAGTTTAATGACGTTACATTACATTACGTTACATTACGTTACGGACTGCTAGCTGACGAGGACGTGCGCATTCGGTATCTTTCGTAGGCTTGCCATAATCGGGATACTTTCCTTGTACAAAAAAAAAGATCAACATTGTTTTTTTCGATTTTTTTTTTTTGGGGGGGGGGGGTCAGAATTAACTATAAAAGCTGTGACATTCTGCTGAAGATCCGACCGATCCAACTCGTATCAGACCTTTTTTCTGTATCATATAAGCATATTGATCTGTACTCGATGCATGAGATCCTGGTTGACGCTCCCTGTGTGAAACCGTTTTCCTTATGTTCTAGAATAAATAACGTGTATTGTTTCTAAATTTACTGAGTCAAATTCAGATCATTGATTACAATGTGATTATTTATATTTTTATTTTTATTTCAAGGCTTATTTTACATCATTCCTTTCTGCACAGGACTGGTCTGGAGGTGTCCTACATTCGCGCCAGCGACATCTGGTACGTCGGCTGCCTCATTTTCGACTTCCTCATCATCCTCGAGTACGTCATCCTCATCTTCGTGCAGCGGCTGAAGAAGACCGAAGACGGCGAGGGCACGGTCTGGGCCAAACCGAGCAAGATCTACCCGACGGAGGTAAGCAGAGGCCGCGCGACAACCCGAGGCTCGAGTCACAGCCACCACCGGGGAGGGGCAAGACGTTAACATTTGCCAGGCCATATAGCATCTCAAAATGTGGACGGATAGAGTCACTTTGACTGACACGGCTCTCTGCATTTAAAGTGACCATCCCACCTTAACATTAGTTTTGAGTTGAGATAGCCAAATTGGTGGCCATGGCCTGCGAATACCGGTTTGGGCACTCACAACATCGAAAAATGCTTTAATTCGGAGTTATGTAATTTCAAACTTGCAGTTTTCGGATTCTAAGGGGCTAATGCATTGGGATGCCCCCTTAGAATTTGTGACGTCAGCGGTGATCTAACGATTTTAAAACCTTATACTAACATCTTTAAGAAGCAGTGGTAGATATATGCTATTTGCGCGCAACATCTGCCGCAAACGCCGCACTTCCAAAATGAAGTCGCTAGGAACAGCGGAGATCCCAAAAAGTAAACAAAAGTAAAAGTCTAATATCTTGAAAACCGGTAAATATTTTTCGGTGAAATTTGGTAGATATTCGTTTTTGCTCTTTCTGAACCGAGCGACATCACTTTCATGCCAATTCATCAACTTTTTTGAAGGTGGGAGGGTCCCTTTAAAGTGCGTATAGAAATGCTTTTTTCTAAATATCCAGACGTGTGCCGTTAATACTCTTTGTGCATACCATTTCCACATCACCAGCCGTTTCGCTATTCACTTATGGACGTTAGGTACATATGAGCTCAATGCAATCTACAACGTGAATGCTACCAGAGCTGGGCGCTGACCCTTTTGAGTAGCCCGTCATACTACCGAGGGCCCTCTGTCTCTCCACAGATTACCGAGGTGAAAAAGGTTGACGACAAGGAGTCGGAGGATGCCCCGGCGGCAGGCTCCCGGGTCTGGCAGCGCGTTCTGGGCGCTCTCGAGGATTCCGCCCGCCTCGACTCCGTCAGTCGCATTGTCCTGGCATTCCTCTTCGTGTGCTTCAGCCTCGGATACGCTGGCTATTATACGCTGCTTTAAGGAGTTGGAGCTTCAGTGGCGTGTTTTCTGTATGTAAATGGATGTTGTCTAGCGTCTCATCGAAATATGGTGTTATGTTGTTGTGCATGAGCTATATCTATGTGACCAAGACTAATTTCACGTGCTGTTATTGACATTCCAAATGATGGAACAATATATATGATGTCTAAGGGATATTTTTTGGATTTACGGAGCACACGCATGATATATAAAATAACGCCGAAATAAGTAGGAAAACTGCGCTATCTACATCGGCTTCATTAGCATTTTATGTATCCGATTCGGTAAGGTCAATCTTCACACGTGTTTGCTGAACGGAGAGGCAACTTATGTTCCCTCGCCGAATCGACGACGCTTGCCAGGGCGTGCTGTCACAGCACGCGTCCTCCAAAATGTATGGGCGCACTGTGTCGTACATCCAACGTGCTCCTAACGAGCAAACGGTGAACCGAGCTCCCCATCGCTCGCTAACGACACGGTCTGATTTATTTATGTCTTAGTCAAGTCGTGTTTATATTCCAGGGAAACGGGTCGCTATCTTTTGCGGTTTGCTATTCATTTTGCGATGCTGCTCATCACGGTTCAGTCTCCAGTATGTCAGTATATAGGTGAGCTCCGTCAAAAGCAGGTCCTTGATGAAGAAAAATTAATTCACTCTACCTATTTTTGTGGCTCTAATCTCTAGATGCTTTACCGGTCCAAGTTTAGAAGCGAAGCCGTTTCTGCCACTGTCGCCAGCAGTGTCGAGGTGCACCACGACTCAACGGACATGTCTGGTATCGGTTTAAGGTCCGCGATGGTGAGTAAAAGGCCATGCTCCGCGGCCTATGTATGGCGATGACGTCAGGCATCCAGTAGATGACGTCATTGGTGACGGGGCAACCTACACGGGTTAGGGGTGGGTGGAATGCGGTGCTCAGTTCTATACAGGTAGGTAAATCATCTTGTTGAGGGTATAGCTGCATCTGACAGTCAGCAGCGCCTAGTAAGAATATAATATTTGGATAAGTCAGTTTCGTGTTTGTAATTTCTCATGAACTTTTCTACTATTATTGGTAAAAAAAGAAAACAGAGATTTATAATCGTAGTCGTTTGGCAAATATTCGAGCAATGTATTCAGAACAGCTATACCTATGACCGAAATTTTGTTAAACTTGTCAGCATAACAAACTTGCTAGCCAAATTTCGCACAAAAATGGTTACGTACTGCCACTAACGCTCGTTGCAAATTTATTTCGCAGTGGCACAATTCTGTGGAAATGTTTTATTTTGCTCGGAAGCTTTGTTCTATAATTATATTTTGTTTTTAAGTCTGTCATTTTAAATTAATAAGCCATTAGCCAATGGACTTCTTAGGTGACGTCTGAATCATTAAGATTTTTGGGATTTACTCTGCTCCCTATTGTAGCACTTAGTTTTCTCCGTATAAGTACCTGATTTCTTAATTCTGTGGCGATGGAAGTGCGTGCCTCGGTCGGCCTCTTGCACAATTGGCGCCCAATGTGATCGACAGACAGAAAACAAAAATAGCTAGCTGTCATGTCAGAGAGAATGAAGTGGATCGATCCGGTGTTTCTGAACCTGGCTGACTCAATCAACTCGAAAGCTCCGAGCACACATTAAATACGCTGTGCTCGATGTGTGGCCAAATAACCCCACTATACCCTAGTCTAGGCAATAAACATGCGCAGAATTAAAGGTTATTGTGTCACTTTTCAACGTCGGTATATTTAACTAGGAGCCCGCCACTAATAGGGTTAAGCTATCTTTTATTTCTGGTAATCGCTAAATAAAAACATCAACTTCAAGTGGCGTGAGTGGATATAATAGCCTTTTTCACGACGGCTATCTGGTACACATTTGGTACAGATTAGGTGCAGCTTTGGTCAAATTAGGTTTATTGTGTTTCAAAAGTTGTCAGTTTGTGTTGCACAGCTGCTTAAGACCCCATTTTCACGTAACCAGACATTATTTTTGATTAAAACACTAAATAAAATCATGATATGAAGATATTTGTTGTAAAAGAGATTTAGTGCAGATTTGGTCACATTAGTGCATTCTTGAGATAGTCCGTTGTGAAAACGGCCGATATGAGCTGAAACGAAGAATCTAAACGTTGCGGTCCGCACGCTGACGGCATTCTCTTCATATTGAGCATAGCGCTAGAGGGGCTTCGATTAGGTCTTCCTAACATAGCCAATGCTAAGAAGAGGTTCAGATCGATTAAGAATTAACCTTTCTTTGTTCTTTCCGTATTTGTCACTGTCGCGTGTGTTCTTACACGCACTGAGAACAGCGCACCTGCATTGCACCCAATTTCTCAGGCGGTTCATCAGAGCCGTACGATACACGCCGTCCGATGCGCAAACGACACTGTTTCGTCACTAGGCTCGTAGTAGATGGACTCCATCGACCGGTCGCGGCAGTGTACCGGCCGGGAAAAGGCGGTCCCACTTGGTACGGCGCTGCCTCGCGCCTGGCCGTACTGGGCCCTCGCACAAGTGCCATCTGACAGCGATCTGCAGCCGCCAGCAGCTCCATTCTTCAGGTGACAATACGCGCTGTCTGGAGAACAGTGGTGCTGGAAAACCTAACGATGGCATGCTCACGTCGGGTGCCCGCCCAAAGGTAACAGAAGGTCGATGGCAAGTTCCCACGGGCGGTGGTGGAGCATTCACGTCCAAGGGAAAGGTGCCGACTCTCGAGCTCATTTATACTTATCGACAACAGCTGTTCCGCTTCTGAAGACGATTGGTTTCGTAAGCCGGTACTTAATGTGTTTTCGTCCATACCTGTACATATATGTGCGTTCTACTTTCACAGTGTATGTATGTAATTTACATGATTATACTAAGCAAGTAAACAGTCCAAAATTAGAGGATTGAAAACATTCTTTGGTATCCTTTTCGTTCCGGCAATTCCCTCTGGTCGATCGATAAAAAGTTCGCCGAACCTGTTTACCAGTGTGTGAGTGAGTTTGCCAAAGTTTTTTATCTGAGTTCAAACGGATGGGGCGGTCGGGACAAGGGTGGCACCTTTTGATGCGTCTCAGGCGAGACAAACTTTTTGTGCCGGCCCGTGGTCGTTGGTACTCTATGTCACCTGTCATACCGCTGCAAAGTTTCGGTGACAAGAAACTTTTTTGTTAGGGCTACAGGTCAATCGGAGACCACAGGAAAAACATGCTTGCAGGACAAACCTGGATTACCCTGAGCCTTAATAAATTAAGGGGCTTCATCTTGGAAGAGTGTACACCGCAAGTGCCCGGGATTTTGGCGTGAGATTCTCTGCTTCCAAGATTTTGAGATATCGGTGTAAAAATAGGTTCATTGATAGCTCTCGACAAGGCCTCCGAAATGGTCTACCAATGTCTGCTTGCAGTTCTATTGAGTGTGCGCTTTGCACATGCAATGCAAGCCTTTTGCATCCGTGAAATATTGTCACGTCTGCAAGAAAAACGGCAGCTGTTTGTGATTCCGATAATTGCAGGTTTGAAGGGTGCACCCGGTCAAGATGCTTCCTTGATATCACATCATAATTCATAGGGGTGCAGGCTACGCGTGCCATGGACGGGACTTGTTTGACAAGGGATCCTCTGGTTCTAGCAAACAGTGTGCTAGCGACATCAAAGTTGGCACATACGTGTAGAACATGATGAGCACTAATGCGAAAGATACCTACCTACGGGTCATTTTTGTCTCCCCTGTGGAAAAGGGACAAAATAGTGATTGAACCAGCTGCCACCGTTCAAGGAAGAAGCTCACTTTTAACATGAGGTTTTGGACTGTAATAGCAGTTTCGTAGCTTGAGCTGAGACTAGCGCAAACCAGGAGCGATTACGGCCCAACGATCACCCTAGACGGAGATATTCAATAATTTCTCGTTCCAGAGTGTATTGCAAAGGAATAAGTGCCATGCTGAGGAATGCAGCCACGTCATCGTCAACCAATCAGCATGCTGCTCACAGCCAATGCAGCATACGTAGGTTTGAACTACGCAATATGATTGGCCAACGCGTAGGGTAACTGTGGGGAAAACGCACCCCTGGGGCCTGGGTTAAACGCCTCCCCTAAAAAATATATTTCTTATCGACGGATAGGTGTTTTATACTGTCTTTCAGAACAGTCAGCTGCTTGTTTACGTAGGTCTCTATTTCCGGTTCTGCGTCTTGAGGAGCAGCGTGGGTAGGTGCTGATGTTGGTTTTGGGTGTTGTTTTTGTTGTTTTTACAGAAGATTCCTAATATTTTGATGCCCTCTTTATATCACAAAACTTGCTATTGTGCACATCACTAAAAACTGCGTTTTATTGTCATTCTGTTGAATTTATTATGCTGCGGCGTTAGTGGCGCGTTTTTTGTCAATATTTTGTTGACCGGAAATGGAGCGGATGGGGAAAGACGCCTACTCGATGCATGGGGCAAGACGCCCCCAGTTTTCTGAAAGGGGGTCGTTTTGCACGGTGGTGAGAGTGCAGGGTAGCGCCTTGTAGGTGGGTGCCGAAAAGGCCTCTCCGTGTCCTTTTTTGCTGATATATCCTAAACGACTGCAGGTATCGTCACCAAACTTTCAGGACTCCTCCGGGCATCCATTTTACACATTGCAACAAATTTTTATTCCAAAGGCTATGATAGGTTGACCACAAATGACATCAGAATGACGTCAAGTTCTGCCATGTTCATCATGTTCTGTTGCTGGATGGGGTGGGGGCGCTTTGTACATGGGTGTGGGCGTATTACCCAGGGTGTGGGGCAAAACGCCCTTTTGTAAGGGTATGCGAAAACCTTTTTGGAGAGTTAACACGCGCAGTGGAAGGGGGGGGGCGGATTTCGCCCACCCCTCCTGTTTTTCGCCAATAACTCGCGCCGCAAGCATAATATCAATATGAAATTTCGGCTACCTGTCCAGAATTGAATTGTGGATCTTCTCGTGCAAGAAGTAAGAAAATCGGTTCACAACTTTTCTAGTAATAGCGGTGTAAAGTCAAACATCCTGCCGCCGCGTCGGCGCGGCGGCGCGGCGGCCGGCGCTAGCCGTTACGCGCCGCCTGAATTGTAGACTGTGCCGGGGCGGAACGGTTCCGTCTTTACATCGCGCTCCTTACCGCTGATTATATTAGATTCGCGTCAAATTCGGTGAGAAGACTGAGAAATGTACAGGCAATCATATGGTCAAAGAATTTTAAAAATCGGCCGGTAACAACTTGAGTTATGAGTGTGTAAACACAAAATTGTGATTGCCGCGTTTCCCGCGTCGGCGGATGCCGCTTCAGCCGGCGACATCTTACCCCTAGCAGGCTTCTAACTGCCATATTTATTGTTGGATTATCTAGAAATTTACCATACATACTCACAAATGTTTGCTCTTTCGTATAGTGAAAGATTTTAAAAAATCGGCCGGTAACTTTTTGAGTTATCGGCGTGTAAACGCAAAAAAGTCGCTAATATGGCAGATTTGACCACATTTGACCTCATTTGACCTTGAAGATATTGACCTAGGGTCATGAAATTCACACACAACAGAGGTCCCCATGGCCCCACCTACCCTCCAAATTTCGTCTTTCTAGCTCCAGTGGGAGCTGAGATCTTAGGGGGGGGAGCCGACATCCGCCCCCCCTTCCACTGGGCGCAGTACTCGCAACCCTTCCACTGCGCGTGTTAAATACCACACGCAGGTGTCTTTTCTTGGTCTCAAAGCGTAGTAAAAAGAATGAGCTACATGATGGTGCCCAAAGGTTTGAGTAATCTGTGTTGGGTTGAGTGTCAGAAGGTTTCGCGCTTAATGGGGGCGTTTTTGACCTATTCACCCTAATAAGCTTCCGCGTCAAACATTATTACGGAGCGAGCGAAGCGAGCGTAGTCTTTCCTTAGATTAACGGAAATTTCTGAGTATGAGCGGCCGGCCGGCCGGCCGGCCGGCCGGCCGTGGTCACGCTTTTGCGACGCTTATATCTCAGCAACCACTTGACCGATTTACACGCGGTAATTTTTGTAGGGTAGCTTCATTCCTTCTAACAAGTATTGGACTATTCCCGATGCATGCGGGTGACCCCTTATGCACGTGCCACGTGCAAAACGAAGAGGTGTCACTTTTGTAATTGTTGCAATATCTCGGTAAGTACTTGGCCGATTGCGCTGAAAGTTGGCATGTAGGTAGGCACCCACTAGGCACTGCATATCCATGTGCCAGAGTTGGGGTGCTGCTGCACGTGCGCACGTGCAGGGGTCGATTCCAGATCTCGAGAACGGCTGGACCGATGGCGCTCAAATTTGGTACATGGTTAGGGACCGGTTAGTAGGGTGCCGTGCACAAGTCAGTTGTGACCCATTTTGCACGTGCGCACGTGCAGGGTGCCGCTTCCAGATCTCAAGAACGGCTGGGCCGATTGTGCTCAAATTTGGCATATTGCTAGAGACCGGTTAGTAGGGTGCCGTGCACAAGTCAGCTAGAGGTACCCCCTCGAAATTTCGCACGTGCAAGGCTCACCCTCTCGCTCGCTCCGTTAGTCGCCCCAAAAGGCGTTATACTGGTTTTATATAGAATAAATTTATTCCTATTAAAAATAAAGAAAATAATCCTGCTTATAAAGGATTTTATTCTATTTTCTGATCATTTTAAGCATAAAAAATCATAAATCCATATAAAAAAAACTAATTTCAGGAAAGTGAACTACTCCCTTTAATAACGGAATAAGAGAAATACCTTCTGTTGGAAGACGGAAAAGCTTATAACTATATTGAGGAACACTGTCGGATCAAAGGGATGTTGGGGGCATTTGCCCCTTCCTCAGTGCCTGTATTTGGCGAAATTTCACAGTTTTGTTCACAAAAACTAAAACTTTTATCAGGGAAAACTTGTTTTAAATTGTACAGAGATACAGATGGAAGCGTAACCCGAGCAGTTTTTTGAAATTGGGAAATCTTTTTGAGGAGCATTCTCCTCTCCCGCAGTGTCTGAAGCAATTTTTATGATTCCGCCAGTGCTCATGTATGAGTAACTATGAATTTACAAGATAGATCACCATACTTATCTTGTAACTAAGTACGTACTACGTACCCTGCGTCGCATTCTAGTTCCAAATGTTATGAGCGTACCTAAGATCAGTCACGACGAGTTCGAAAAACATTTAACGTGTTACCTGATTAGCCATGTTCAATGTTCAATTGATAATTGCATTTGTCTTACATCTTAGAAAGACAAAAAGAATAACCAATATTTACATCATGTATTTGTCGTTCCATTTCAGCATTCCAGAGCGCGCTACCAGAAACTAGGATATAAAATGGTAAGAATTAGTATATATTTTACAGCAGAGGTGTACGTGATGTACATCAATACAAAGTCGTCAGTCGGCGGCGGTGGGTGTGCCGTCACCGAGCCGGTGCGGCACCTCTCGGCCGAGGTGCCGCCGGCCGCCCTACCGGGGCGCCACCTGCAACCACTGCCGCCCGGCAGCAGCTGCACGGCCGTTTTGATTGGTCGAATCGGGTGGGCGCGGCTGTGCGTGCTTGCAGGTCAGGTCGGGTCAGCTGCGTCGGCGGCGGCGCGGGCGGCACCGCGCCTCGGTCGGGGGAGAGCGACCCAGGCTCGGTCGGGCCGCCCGCCGCCGCCGCCAGCGACCAGGTCCAGCCGCCGGACCCCGGGCGAGTGGACCCTGACGCTCGCTCGCTCTCACTCGCTCACTCGCTCACTCTTGCTCTCCGCCAGTCCAAGTGAGCTCGGACCGCAGAGGATACACAACTCAACCAACGGCACAGTAGTGGGCGACATACAAAACCAACGGCCAACAAACCAACGAGAACCAACGGCCGGAGATCACGTAGGCATCTGTAGTCTTTAGTTTGGGTATATGTGAGTTTGAGCGCGCATCTGCGTCACAATATTAAAGCTATGACCTTCCTTCGGTGTGGGTCTGGTCAGTGTGGCACGCAGTGCAGCAGCTCGTCGCTCCCAGACTCCCTCTCTCTCACACACACTCCCAGACTCTCCCTCTCTCTCGCTCTCTCTCCGGGCGGGTGCAGGCCAGGCGGCTCGTCCGACCGCCGTCACAGAGGCGATCGGCCTAGCTGAACGCCGTCTCGGCCGGCTTTGAGGTGGGCGCGGGCGGCACGCTGACCAGCGAACTGGTGGCGAACAGTTTGTACCAGCCGATGGCAATGTTGGACAGGTCCAGGTCATCCAGCATGATCTGAGCCACACCCATGAAGATCTTCTTGCCCTCCATGCGGCCATAGTCGCCCCAGACTGTGACCTGGGGGAAAACTGGGTTTCAGAAACCAGAGAAAATCGACATGTGAGAGCCAGTTGTGGGATGTCTGTTGTTTGAGTATTGGTAGCTTCCTTTTGTAGAACATCTTGCCTAAGCCTTTGCAACTTCGCATCAAAATAATCTAAGCTATGTATGACCACTCATCCAGGCCGTATCGAGAGTGAGTCTCGTTAAAAAACAAGAGAGTGAGTTTAAAGAGAGTAAAATTATAAAGGCGTTAAAAAAACACTTGTGACCATAAGCGGTGAATAAAGCCGCAAACATGAAGCAGATTCAGCGAAGATGCGGCACGGCCCCGGCTAGCGCAAGCGGGCGAGACAGACTGAGCGGGACTAGGTAGACTGTGCCGCATTACACAGGCGCAATGCGGTACAGCCGCCGCGCCGGCTGCAGGCGGCTGCAGTCGGCCCAGTGCACAGCGTAGGGAACATTTCTCGACAGCGCCCAGTCTCTGGGCAGTCTGGGTTGGCTCTAGGACGAATTTTAGTCTGCTTAATGAGCATACTAATATCTTTCAACGTACCTGGAGCACACAGCCGGCGTATTTTTCTGTGAAGACCAGAGTTTGCTGGTAGAACGGGTCCAGCGTCCGCCGCGCCGTGGTAGTTTTGGCCTTGGATAGACACCGCTTGCCGTCCACCAGGTAAACTTTTACGTAAGGAGCTGTGGAGCGAAACAGCCGTGCTACAGCTCACTGTTCTTGGAATGATGAACGAGAAGCATGACTTTTAAAACCCTATTTGAATTTAAGTAATGCCTGCATAAAACACTTCGGGAAGCTTTGAAATTTCATCATCTCAATTTGCATAAAATAGCCAACAAATACTAAAAAGGCTTATTTTAAATGCAGAAGGTCCTACAAAATTACTCAGTCGCAAACGCTGAAACACCAGTTTATTGACGGAGGGTGTAGGTGGCGCTGCCAGCACCAGTCGGTTCCGTGGGTGGACCTGTGTGCCCGGCTCCTCCATCCCCAGCTCAGTACCCACCTGGAAGAACCCTGGAGCCGGGCCGGGCCTGGAGGTCGCGCGCTCTGATCACCTCCACCTCCAGGTTGCCCTTTCGGTCGCACATGGACAGCTGGATGTCGCCCAGGGACGGACTGGCCAGCATTTGGCGACCGACCAGCTGGCCTGTGGCGCACACGGAGAAGATAGCGAGTCAGCACAGCACATAGCGCCCAAAGCATTTCGGGACATGCACAGAACAGTACCGACAAAGCCATGACGCACCGATCTGGAGAGAACCCGTGCTAGCCGCTGCGTGGAAGTCTTTTAGCCTATTAGTGGCAGGCTCCTGGCAGGCCGCTATGGACGTTGTGACAGTTGGATCGAGCTCGTCTGTTGATCAAATTATCTCCTTCCTAAAAACTCCTAAATTGGCTGCCGGCTTCCGTTATATTATATGTGCTTCGTGTGCTGTTATAGACGTGATTCATCTTTTAACATTCTTTCGAAACGTCGGTATAACATACATAAACAATAAACATCAATTCGGCTAAAGCCGTTTTTTCTCCATCCCGTCCTACCGGCACCTTCTGTCCTTCACTTTCCCCTGATCTGCGCGTCTTACCTGGCCCGAGGCCCTCGATGAAGTCGGCAATGTGACCCTCTGGTACCCGCATACCGGGTACCAAGCTGGAACACCAGTCACATCACAGGTCACTGGTCAGAACAGCACGTGACGACTGCTGACCGGTCAAAGCACAGGTCAGAACAGTAAAGAACGTTCACTGAAACAGCCCGACCTCAGGCCAGAACGGCACAAGAGGTGAGCTAAAATACGTCAAGTCAGAAACGAGCAGGACACACATGAACCCAATCTTACGAAGGCAATCAGAAAAGGACACACTTCGAGTATCTGAGAGAAAATATATGTCTCAGATTTAACTAGCCTTGGCGCATGGTGGAAAATTAGGTTTGGTTTGTTTACCAAGCCAGTTAAAATGCAGGCTGATTTGTCCCATTGCTTTTCAAAACAGCTTTGTATGAACAAGTAAAATATTGTCTAAGGAAAAACGTGTCGTTAGAATAGATCAACTGAACTAACACATTTCTGAATCGTTTCACAAAGCATTAATCGTTGCTATCGTCATTGAGTTTAAATAACCAAAAGAGAAGGACTAGAAGGTATCGATAATTTTGATGTGCATGATGTCACAGAGCTTCGTTTCATTCCTGTCAAGCGGACAAAAAATAGCGATGCAGATACAGTCATCACGCCGCCTTGACTACTGAAGCCTTTCAACGACTAACTAGTCTCAACATATCTTGTAGCTACAAACTGACGAACAAAATGTCTAGAGTGCTTGCAACTATTCGACTGAACTCTTACACTGCATGCATGTTAATCACACGTTCTACGAAACGCATGAGGTGCCAACTGACAGATTCCCACTACCGTGCACACATACACAGCTCGTTTAGCCAGCTATCTGCCATTACCCGGGCCCGAAAGGGGCGATCTCTGTCGTAGAAGTAATGATGCTCTGCTGACTAGGCCCTTGCTTCTGACAAAACCTGCTGGAGTGGTGGACAAGTGCAGAGCGAGACGCGCTGCTTTACTAATAATGAGTATCGCATTTTTATAACCACTTTTTTGCATCCGAAGTACAGCATCTATTTCGGCGTTTTAAGCAAAGATTACCTACAATGTCAATATTATCCGTAGTATTTTGAGCTTGAAGAGTTTTACATGCTTAAACTTTACTCAACATCTCTGATTAAATAGGCATCTAAAAAATATGGTAGCCGGCTAATAAGCACCAGCAAACAATTGAAAGTTTTCCCCTCAACTGAACGTAGGGTCTGCTTACGACTATTGAACAATTTCCTTACGCTTCAAGATGTCCTGGATATGGAAATTTGGGTGGGTTCAGCGTAATCATCCGTTGTTCTGGGTTCAGCGTTAACGTTTAACGTTTAACGTGTTTCAACTTAAACGCATTAACGTTTTGAATTTTGAACATTAAAGTTAACAGAAGCAAAAATAGTTGCATAAATGGCAATATTAGTACATTAGGGGCAGTGTCATAAACGAATGAAAAAAAAAATAGTGGCCCCAGGCTAATTCACCAGGTCAGGTCAAGCTCACAAGCAAGTATTGCCAGTTGCCACCGATTGCACTTTTGATCAAACATCATGTGCCCAGGAAACAGATGTGATTGAGATAATGGTGTATCAACCCTAAACGTTTCGGATCGATATTAGGTCAGGTCAGGTCAGGTCAGGTCAGGTGAGCCAAAAAACGTCACTAATGTGCCTAACTGCCTATCCATGAAGCCCTGACTGCCACGGTGGTATCGGTGGTATCGCTAGTACCTATACCTAGGCACTAGCGCGTAATCGGTAGAAGAAATGAAAAATATGAAAATATCAAAACCGGCGTGTTGCTACTTTCGAGAAAAACCAAAAAAGGTAGGCATCCCATTTTAAACTCTCATGACCGCATGATGAAACTCTGATGCCCTTAACTCTGAGGTCGAATACCCCGAAATATGGGTTAATTGCTACAGCGACACTAGTTCATTTTTAGTGAGTGCCAACGCGCGATGAATGATGTATTTTTTGCCCGAAAACGGTAATTATTTATGTCAACCTCATATGACCTCAGGTGATCGAGCTTACCCCTGGGCCCAGCCATATTGAAATTTTAGCATGCTACAGCATTTTGGTTTGCAAATGCAAAAAAAAACATGATCGTGGCAAAATATTTTGTCAACACGCAGCAAGAGTATCATTACATGATACAACAGCCTGTGTGACTGCTGTACTGTCATAAGCGTCAACAAAACATTTTATTCGATGGGCGGATGGCATTTTAATGTGAAGCCGAGAAAAGTGCTGGGATAGAAGATAGTGGGATTGCATAAGCTGGAGAGCGAGGAATAGCAGTGGCTTGCTTTAGTAAATGAAAACATTCGAGGAGGCGTGTCTTTCATGACAAACAGCTGTGCTTTGAAAGTAAATCGGGGCACACACAGCAACTTATTTGATAAAATGCTTGGTTTGGCAACATCAAAGAGAATGTTCGATCAGCACGCGTCTCTGATTTAGACGCGTATCTCTAAGATAGAGTTCCAATGCAGCAACACAGACGCGGTCGATAGAGTTTGAGAGGCCACACCGTGCCGGTTCGGGTGAGAGGGGTGCGGGCCGGGGCAGAGGACAGGGCAGACAGAGGGAGGGAGGGAGGGAGGAGGCAGCGCGCGGACCTCACCTGCCGCCACCATCGCTACTGGCCGAATTGCTGGCGTCCGAATCGCGGGATCGCTGGCGCACCAGGCGGCCGCCGCCGGCAGACAGCGGCGGCGGAACCACCTCGTGCGAACGCTGAATGCCACTAGCGCTACGTTTCCTACTCACATCCGCTGCAAAATACAGAGGCCATGCATCAAAAGCGGCTCACTCGGGCTGGCTCGCCCTCCGTCTACCTACGATCGGACGACTAGGGGCCGGGACAGGCACCGGGCCGCCCGGCCACAGACAGACACACAAACAGCGCCGTCAGGGCGGCCGAGCTCGCGCTCTGGCGGGACCCGTACCGGGCCGATGTAGCACTGCTGACGTCAGAGCGGTCCGAGAGCTCCTCCAGCTCGCCGTCCGAGCTCTGCGAGCTCAGCTGTTTGTTCACCAGGTGCACCACCTCCTCGCTACGGTGCACCGTGAACGAGTTTTTGCCGCGTGAACCGAACTTGAGTCGCTTCTTACGCCCTGAGCGAAGCGGGGAGTCAGAGGGGGCTTGGCGCCGGCGGCCGGTCGCAACTGTGGATGGAGAGCTGTGTCTGGTTAGTGGTGGCGCAGCTCCGGTGCCAGTGGTGCACCTTTCCTGCTTACGAGCGTCAGAACGTCGGAACCTCCGCCGTCAGTTGTCCATTCTACATCTACGAACGTCCTGAGTCGACTCTTATCCAAACATGCACACACACATACACACAGTCAACGTCATCCGTCTGTCTAATCAAAACCACTCATGCAATCTCTAGACTGGTTGATAAACCTACGACCAAAGCATCGGGGGTCTAGTGAAGCGATGTGCGAGGGTTTGCCCTGGACCGTCCCTGCACTGCGGTGTGGGTGACAATCAGTCTCGCCCCCGAGAGCGGGAGGCTTGGTGGTCGTCTTCAGCGGACTACATCAGCTACCGAGGTCCATCAAAAGCAGGTGAAGGTGGCGAAGTGGCAGAGCAGGACGGTCAGGGAACTACAGACAGCGCCTCTCTATGCGGAAGAGAGGAACGTGAATGATTGGTCTGTCGAGGACAGGGCAACATCGAGTGCTCTCTAGGGCCGCGGGGGCAGTGGACGGGAGCCGGGCGGCGGACTCTATTGGCTCGCCGCCCTGGGCCGTGCAGGTCACCTGCGGTCGAGAGCTGGGACGTGGAGCTGCTCTTCTTGCCCATGCCGCCGGCGCCGGACGCCTTTCCCGGGGGCAGGAGGTCCCCGCGGCTGACGGCCGTGTCACTCAGGCTCTCTGCGCGCCCACAGACACACAGACGGCGCTGTCACTCGGCACAGACTCGCTGACCCTCACACGCGCGCACACACACTGCAGGCTGTCAGCCGGCGGGGCGGGGCGAGGCGGGCACGGGCAGGGACGGCCTCGGGACCCGCGGGAGCTGCTCTAGGGACCGCGGCCAGGCTGAGATAGCTGCCAGAGAAGCGCTACCGAGACCTACATCATGTTGCCTGGACGGCTGTGCCTGTGTCGAGACGTATTTACACGTGTACGCCGTATGGAGGCCGGCGAAGGTAGAGTCCCCAGAACGGTTCACTATGTCGGGTACCGTCAAGAAATGTACATATGTGCAATGCATGAATTCACAGTGTCACTTTGCATCATCACAGCCACAATCACCAGTGGTGAGATAAACGTATCAGCATCACAATGCACAGATTACATGTTAGTTGATTTGGTAAACTTTATAAATCGTAACTGAACATGCATAGGTGTACTTTATTATTCGTTAGTTTCTTATTTGTATGACTCTACCTTTTGAAACACAGATTGAGCGCTACCGAAAACGCCCTTTTAATTTGTGGTTGGACGTTTCCACTCCTGCATGATCAAAATAATTTTTGTCTCGGAAGTTTTTGCCAAAGTGAAAATGTGAAAAATCCCGAGCGTAAATTGAATGTCTGTGCATATCATGATTGACTACAAATGAAGCCATCGTTTAGGCTAGTGTTCCATTAGTTACGGGCTCCTATTGTTTCGTTTTGTCAGTGAAATAAAATGTGTTATGTTAAAGACATCGTTTGGATAAACACCTGACCCTCTGACGAAATTTTCCCTTCCAACACCAACACACACACATAAACACAAGCGTCGGCCGCCGTCTGGCGGCCGGGACTGACCTGTCTTTTCTGGCACGTCGGCTGAAGCGCTGCGTCCCAGGGCGGTCCGGCTGCCGGCGCCGCCGCCACGCTCGCTAGGGGAAGGGGAAACATCGTTACCTCCACTGTCGCCGTCGGCCGCGATGAAGTCCGACAGATCGAACAGGTCATCGTCTTTGAACGCGTCACCGAAGTCGTCCGACCCGCGCTTCACGACCGGCACTTTGGCGGCGGCACTGTTCACTGGGGCCGCCTTCGTCTCGGCGCCGCGCGCACTGACACTGTTCACCGTCGCCGACGAGCCACTGGCCGCGGCCGGCGGCGCGTCCGTCACTGCTGGTGCCCGCTCGCCGGCGGCGGCCGTCGCGCCGCGCGAGGAGCCGCCTCCTGCCGGCGCGTCGGACCGCGCGGCGCGCGCCCGGCCCGCCGGCGGCAGGGTGCGGCGCGGCTGCGGCGGCGGCGCCGTCCGGCTGGACGTGCCGCCGCTGCCAAACTCGGGCACCGAGCTGTACTGCCGCAGCGACTTCCGCCGCTCACGCTTGAAGTCGCGCTCCAGTCCGCGCTGTCGGGCCACTTGCTCGGTGGAGCCGCGGGCGCGCCGCTCGGCGGCCAGCGCGCCGTCCGTCTCCGGGTAGTCCCAGTGCGCCGAGCCGGGGCCGGGGCCGCGCCGGGCGCCGTCCAGCGACCTGCCCCGCGGGTATCGGCCCCCTGTGTGGTTAGACGCTGACGGGAGGTTGGACGGGGCGTGCGAAGAAAAGGAAGAATGCTGCCAAGCGGTGTGAGCCAACCTAAAAACGAGGAAGCAAAGAAAAGTCAGAAAGATGAGCATGGAGAGCGCGCACAAGTAACCGTGAGATAAGTGATAACATCAAGATGGGCTGGCAGAATTGACACCGATTCGTGCGAGGCACAGATAAAGAGGGACTTGATGAGAAGCCATTCAAGCCTGCTACAAAGTGTCAACCACTACCGGATTGTGAAGGTGAGCCCTCCCCTCCCACACGAACCCCATAGCGTCGCGCTCGCTCGCTGCCGCTGCCCCCTCCGCCCGGCGCGTCCGTTAACCCACGGTGAAGACACGCACGGAGCCACAACACCAACAGTGGACACAGTTGGGCTGGGTCACAGCGAGACAGAGAGACAGCGAGAAAGAGAAGAGGCGCAGCGCTCCGGCCGTCCCAGGTATACCTGCTCTTGCGCGTGCCGAGTGGCTGCTCGCTCTGGCTGCTGAAGGCACTGGTGTCGCTCTCCCGGTCGCTGGCGCTGTCCTGCTCGTTCTCGGGCGAGAAGAAGCTGCCGCGCCTGCCGAGCGCGCGCCGCGCCGTGCGCTCGGCGCCGGCCCCCGCCAGCTCCGAGTCCGAGATGGCGTAGTGGCGACTCTGGCGCGCCGGGCCGCCGCCGCCCCCGCCGCCACCGGCCTGCTGTAACCGGAGCAGCTGGCGCGCGCGGGTCTCCACATCAGCCGGCTGGTGGACGATGAAGAAGGGATGAAGAAGGGTTACAGATCATAGCGGTAGGGACTCCACCAGTCAGGTCACACGATGAATCTGATAAAGTGGCTAGATTGAGTCTGATGAAGGCTCAAACGTTACCATAGCAGAATACCACGTTTGCTCATCAGAAGGCAGATTGAAAACTTTAAGTGGCTCCGCCTGAAATAATTCGCATCTTTTTTAGCTTTGACAATTGAATACTAGCATCAATGGCCGATATGACTCGGAGTTTGCTGCTAGCTTCGTCTAGATCACGCATCTCGGGCAGTTGGGCGCTCTGTCCCGGCCAAAGAGCGTCTGTTCCGCTCACCAGGTGATCTCTGCCGAAGGTGCGAGCGGTGGGGAGCTGCGGCAGCTGGCGCTTCTTGGGACTGCTGCCGACCGACTCCAGGTGACTGTGGTGGGACGGTTCCAGCTGATAGGACCGGCTCGGCAGCCTGCCGGCGGCGGAAGGGCGCACAACACTTCAGCCAGCGCGGTAAGTATGTACAAGACGCAGGGACAGGTGAAGGCGCTACACACTGAACTGCTTATTCTTCCGCTCGCGAAATGCATCTATGCAAGTTCTGTTGACCTTCTAGCTAGATCGCAGCGCAGTAGACGCGAGCTTTTCCTGTCTGAACAAACCTCCGTCACTTCTGCGTCGCCATCGATCGCTTCTAAAATTAGCTAACGAAATTAAACCCGGAGAAACCACAAAATGCCGGAATCCGCAGAATAGCCCAAGTTAGCGCTAAGGCGCCTCTGTAAGTAAGACCCGGGCCTGGGCCACGAGCCGCTGGTGGTCGCGTTGAGAGCTCTGACCCCGGGCTGGGGAAGTTGGCTCACCGTTTGGGCGGAGACATGCTGCGCTCGCGGTCCGAGAGGCCGGAGCTGGTGTAGGGCGCGGCCGAGTGAGAGCGACTCCGCCCGTCCGCGTACGGCACCGGCTCCTGCGGTCACAGCCACAGGTCACAGGTCACAGGTCACAGGTCACAGGTCAGAGACTACGAACGCCATGCGTTTCGGGTAATAAGTCATAGGTCATAGGTTTCGGGTCAAAGGTCGCAGGTCACAGACCATGGGCCGAAACATTCAGTCTCTTTTTTTCTCTCTCTCTCTCTCTCACTCTCTCTCTCTCTCTCTCTCTCCCTCTCACCTGTCGTCCGGCGCCGCGCTGATAGAGCATCTCGTCTCGCGTGACGACAGTGCCGGAGCGGGCGCGGTGTCCACCGGCGGCGCCGAAGTCGCGGCGCGTTGACCGCTCGCCGCGCTCCGAGACCGGCGGGCTGCACGAGCTGCTGTCGGCGCCGGCGCCGCGCCGACACTCGTCCACGTCGACGTCGGAAGTGTCGCTCTCAGAGAGGCGCGACGTGGTACTCGGAGGGGACAGGTGGTCCGTAGAGGCGGTCGTCGACGCCCGGTCAAAGTCTATATACATGCCGTGCCGCTGCAGGGTGGGAAGAAGACACAAAGTTATGCTCGAGAACAATAGCCTTTTGAGAAATAAATTTCTCCTAGCTCTGAAATCATCAACGTAATTCCCCAATATTTGTCTATAATGAGCGACGAAACGTCAACTCTATCTCAATTCCCAAACCCACACCCCGGACCTTTAACCCGCAGTCGTCGTACCGTGTGCAGGTTGAAATCCTCGGGTATGGTGAGCGGGAACCACTCTGGCTCATTGCGCAGCGGGTGCGTGCCCAGCTCGACGAGCACCTCGCCGAGGAAGTCGTTGCACCCGAACCGGTCGTAGTCCCAGACGGTGATCTCTAGGTGCCGGCTATGCAGCTCCGAGCGCCGGATCGTCGAGTAGATCAGCGACTGACCCCAGCGTGGCTCGAGCGTGTTGGCGAGCGTCTTGGTGCGCCGCTTCGATTTTTCACTGGACGGAGGTGTAAGGGTGGCGAGGGTTACTAAGGCAATGATGATTTTAATTTCAATATTGGCATATATGGATTCATGACACACGTAGGTAAGCAGTGCTTATGAATTCGTTGTAAGCAAAACTTAAAACATCATCGCCAGCTTTTGTTCAAGCAAATAATTAAGGTAATAAATCGTAGGTGGCACCGTGGCTACTCAATGAACAGAAAGTTCTCCAAATATACAATGGGGAACGGCCGAGGGAAGGAACAGTCTGACTGGCAAAAAAGGAAGAGAAGGTGGCCGTGGCAGAAACAGCTTGGGCACCGGCACCGGCGGCACCAGCGGAACCGACACCGGCACCACCGGCACCACTGGCACCACCGGCGGCGGCTCCTCGGCCGTCTCCGCCTGCTCCGTCGGTGCCGTCGCGTCGGCCCCGCTCCTTCGGCGGGCGGCCAGCAATATCGACCCGTATGCATGTTTCAGCCGGAGCCGCGGCCGCCTGGCCGCCATCAGAGGCCCGAGCCACCACCACCGGCACGGCGCCGCGGTAGAGGGGCCGCATTTGGAGCCGCCGGCCCGATTGGCATACATAAACGAGATACTATGTAGTGTCTATGACGAATGATCAGGATGAAGAGAAAGGGTGTCACCACCTCTTGAGATGTGCAAACGAAGCTCCAGTCCCTGACTCACCTGCGGTCGGGCAGGAGGAAAACCTTGGCGTACGGGTTCCTCAGGTGACCCGATTCTCTCGGCACCAGGTCGACGGCACAGAGGAGGGTGACGATCAGTTTCAGCGTCCTCGAGTCATACCACAGTTTGGCCTGCCGATAGACCGGGAGGGTGTTACACGTACGTACGTGATTCGCAGTCCTCATATATAAACTTCCGTCGGGCCAACATGAATGTGTGCCAGGGAAATGTAAGAAATGCTAAGAAGAGAGAGAGAGAGAGAGAGAGAGAGAGAGAGAGAGAGAGAGAGAGAGAGAGAGAGAGAGAGAGAGAGAGAGAGAGAGAGAGAGAGAGAGAGAGAGGAGAGGAGAGAGAGAGAGAGGGGCGAGACAGATGGCTATTTTGTTAAACGTTGTATGTTTTAAATTCCCGCCCGCTACAGGCTTACATCACTTGTTTCGATAGCTTGGGTTGTATGTGTGTTTGGACAAGCGTCACTGCCAGAAGTAGTCGCTTACGCCTTGTGATACGCTTACGCTTACGTCTGTTGGGTTTTATGTGCCATTTATGTGTTGTAACTATTGTAGTAGTTACCTAAATGCACCGAGCGGGCTCAACTATAATGTACATATGTTCCTCGTGAAACTGCATCTGATAGTCACCTTTGTGTTTTTAACGGAGACCAGCGCACACATTCGACCTCAACTGACCTGACCTTGGCCTGAACTTCATCCAACGAAGATCCATATCACTAATTTAGCATCCCATAGCCCATTGAGTCCTATGAGTAGGATGACCAATTAAACATATGTCGCACAAGGTCATGCCTATTCAATAGCTCGTCTTTGGTGACCTGACCTGACCTGATCTGACCTTGACCTTAACCCTCGCCGGCACAGGCCATTTTGAGCCCTTCGACGGCACCAAGGGAGTTGGTACGACCCCCCTCGCGTTTGGCCCCTGATGGAGCTAGCACACCGTTCCGTGCTTCTATCCTCAGGATACTGAAATCCTTCTCCTCCACGCCGCAACCCCCCTCCGGACTGGACAGGCAACTTTATCTCATGCGGGCTGCTCCCTTGGAGCGGCACCGCTGCTCCCGAGGGAGCGCACCCCGTAGCCGGGTGCAGTGAGTGCCTTGGGGCTGGGTGGCCTGTCCTCTGGACGGGCTCAGCCCCGGCGACTCACTAGGGTGCCTGCCCAGACCAATGTCTCCCCCTACATATATCCTATCATCCTCCCGGCTCTGAAATGGTCTCATTGGACCGAAAGGGCCTAACCCCCCAAAAAAAAAATGGAGCTAGAGCTTCGAGGAAAAAACGAGAGCGTGTTGCCCGTCACGAGAGGAAGCCAATGATACCCAACTTTAAGGTCCTAGATCATCGATTGACCTTCCAGGTTAGGTCAATGACCCAAAAATCGGGAATATCGGGACCTGTTAGAAAGTCGTAAAGTGTGGCTGCTAAGGGGTTTTCCGGGATGCTGATCACGAATATCGTGTTAGTTTTGATCACAGACGATGTCGTTAAGCGTTTAGACCAGGTCGGGTCAGGTCAGGTCAGGTCAACCAGTAGGGGTCGTGACGGGTATTCGTAGTACCTGTCATCCGCCTCTGACAGCTTCGTAACATGTTACGAATGCACCAAAACTACTTGGTAAATGTTCAAATGGTTGCTTAATTCGACTTCAGCTCCAAAAACTAGCCTAGAAACATGTAAAACTCGAAAAAGTGAACCGAGGTCACCAAAGGTCAATGACCTGACCTGATCTTCAGGTGACCTTGACACCCACCCTAATGCATGGGAGCAACATCAAATCACATGTTTGAACGTTTGAAACCACGAAAAGCTTGCAAACGCGCGACTAATGCGAGCCGACATACGCCGAATCGCGATTCCGGCCAAACATGGTCTCGGAAAAGAGGTCACAGTTTAAAGGTCATTCGGGTCAGGGTCATGAAATTTTCAGGGCAGGTGTAAAATTAATCAATGCGAGGGTTCTAAAAGTTTCGTTGCGATCGGTCGCTTTTTTTCGCGAGTTATTCGCGAAAAACCTTAGGGGAGGGTTGCATCAACCCCCTATGCCGGCGAGGGTTAAACTTTATATGGCAAGAATTTGGTCATGGTGGCTTTAGAACGTTTTCTTGGCACCCAATCTAAGTTCATTTCCGCTAACTAGGCTCTAAAGCAAGAAATGTAGAAAACTGCAGTTTTTACTGTTGGCCTGACTTTGCCTGACCTAACGGCTACTCAAGCATAAAAATGTGCTCAAATGGTTGTAAGGAGCTTTCGATTGCTCTTTACCACGGTTTTCTACAGCCATTCGTTTGAAAGTTAGACAGGGGGCAGAAAAAGCCTATTCACTCAGCGAGGCGCGTTCGGCTAAATGGCGAAGAAGTCTACCATTTCATACACTCAGCAACGCGAAGCTGCACACGTAGGTTTTGCACTTTTGTCCCCATAAGTATTTTTCGTAAGATAATTTGTGATAAGGAGTGTGAGAAAAACCGGGTCTTTGTGTTGAGATCAAGCGGCTAGACTAACCCTTCAGCACGGTCTGACCAAAGGACCGATCCATCACAAGAGCCTTCGCTGGGAGTCCCATTCAGTCGTCCGGTCCTGTTCAGCAGCCAGTTGCTGACATTGCTCACTGGTGAGGATTGTCACCGCTAGCGACCGTTCACGATCTTTTTCGTGTGTGATCTGCAGTCTACGGTTCACAGCCTTTCAGTTGCAGTAAGGCACATATGACTCTCTTCGAACACCCGCTCATATGACAATATCATCGTCCAAACTGTCATGCGTATTGCAATATGCATTTACCGTCATCTGACTCACACTCCAGACATTATTGCTTCCTACCCACACCATACACTTCACTCGAAGTTAAGTTCACTTTTCACTCCAATCCCAATCCAGTCCATTGCGATCTCGACGCCTCCTCCTCCCCTCCCGGTTCGACTCCATCCCCACCGCTGCCGCAATCGATTTCTAATTGTGTCACTGTGACGGCAGCACAGCCCTCCCCTGCGGACGGGTGACCCGCTCCCCACCCCGCGCCTCCCCTCCCCACCCTGCGCCGCCCCTCCCCTCCGGAGGGCGTCAATATGCGGGGGGGGGGGGGTGCTGCAGCCGCCGCCGCAGGGCGTAGTCACGTGACCAGCCCACTGCGGCGTCGGTGGTGCCCCTCCCCCTCCCCCTCCCCCCGCGCCCCGCCGGTACAGATTCAGATGTCCGCAGTGGCTCTCCGTATTCGTCGCCGGGCGGCATAGAACGAGGTCAGTGGTGCAGACGGGAGCACCCACGCACTGCAGGACGCTCTGCCAGTACCTCCCCCTCTTCCTGCTGGCTCCCCCTCTCTCGGCCCCGCCCACCCAGAGACCAGCGCCCAGCGGAGCCCGGCAGACCCAGCGGTAAATTCCTCTTTATGTAGCGCAATGTCTCCGCGAAGTGAGGAAACTTATTAATGCTGCCTGCTGGTAGGTAGGTATAGCTGCAGCTGCGGCTGATTCATTCATCAGTCATCAAGCCTGATCTGCGCTGTCCACGCCAGTTTGCTCTTACAAAATTATTGGTAGAATGGTGCCTGTCATTATCTGGAATGAATCGCATTAGTCGCATTTTGGCGGCAATTTTCTCTTCAGCCTGTACTTTTCTGTTCATCTTCGTACATCGAAGCCAGCATGTTATTTCCTTTCGTGTGAGGTGCACCGAAAACATATCTTTCTAGCACAGCTTAAATAAAGTAATCCTTCCTAGTGTTTGATACAAATTATGTGTTTCAATTAGATCACTATTAGGTACCTAATTACCTATGCATATCATTTTTCACAATGCTGACTGCGGCCTTCGTAACTACATAAGAAGTGGCAAGTAAGCAATTAACCTGAATTTCAATGACACTACGTGGCATTTTTAAATATGATAAGCGCCGGAAATTATTTCTCTGAAAAACACGGTGAACCAATGCAGAATCTAAAACAGTCGGCGTAAAAGTTTCGACAACCGCTCCCTAGATGGCGCGGCAGTATGGCGCCTGAAGTGGCAGACTGTCCCGCAAGGCTCCTGTAGTGATCCCGGCCCATGCCACGTTGCAGTCACTGCGCTTCATCCTAGAAGTTAGGTGGCGCTTCCGCCTTACCTAAATTCCTAGTTCACTTGCGACTATTGGTACTTGGCAGCTGCAACTCACACTGGATTTTCTCATGCGCATGCTATAACAAACTTTCATAGAAAATGGATGAACCTACACATTTTCTAGTTCTTCGATAATGACCACTCATTCCACCCCATTTTGGAGCAATTCATGCAACCCTATCGTATTAACAATATCGCTGAGGTTGGCAGCATCGGGTAAATTTCAAGTACATTTGTACTTTCAACTATGTAGAGATGTCAATCGGATACCAACTTTTTGGTATACCGATACCAAACCGATACCAACTTGGTATTTGGTATTTCAATCCCAATATGCTTGGTATTTTGTTGGTATTATGAACCCTCACTAATGTATCATGGGCTGAGAAATGGGTAAAAAGTTGATATTTCCCTCATGTTTCCAAGTTGGTTTGGTTTCGGTATATCCCCATGGTTTTGGTTGGTATTTGGTTTGGTATCGGTATTCCGATTTTCCGTAATTGACATCACTACTTTCAACCATCAAACGTTGAGCTTCTCAGGGTTATTAAATGGACTTAAATTGCGTTTGCCACTGCTGATATACGAGTGGCAAACGCAACTCGTCCCTGTACTCGTAGGTACAGGGGCCAGAATTTACCAGTGTAAATATCACAGCACGGCAAGACTGGGTCGGGGTATGGTGATGTCGAATCCGGACTCACCTGCAGTTTTCCGCCGATATTCTCGACGCTGGGCCTCGGGTGGTGTGCCCTGCTGTCGGGTGACCCCGGAGAGGTCACGGTCACACTGGGTCGCCGGTCGCGGTCACTGCGCGCCGGGTCACTGCGCCTTGGCCGCGGCTCCACCGGCGCGAACGCTGTCGGCGACCATCCAAAGCCAACCGTTACATAACACACTGACTCGGCCGGTTGGCCGGGTTCCGGCGAAGAAAATCGATCCAGCATCTCCAAGTCCTAGTCAGCATGGAACATAGCGTCTTCCAGCGAAAAATAGCACTGCAGGGAACATCCTTCGTGAACAAAAAAGTGTCATAAACAAATGTTACTACAGCAAATGACGCGATGTTTTCCACTTAACATCGGACGGCTATTTTGACGTGTCTCCCTCTCAGAATGGCGTGTTACATGTGTCACTCTGTGGAGCGCCATCCGTGCAAACATTGCCTGTGAGCGGCGGCGTGCGTGTCTGTCGGGGTCGAGGCGTTCCGTGAGGACCAGTGCGGCCGGATCCCGACCCACGCACATCCCCGTGTAATGATGGTGGCGGCGTCACACACGTCAGGCGACACGAGCACACCCTGTCCGTCTTCGGACACGGTGCGCGAAAAACGGACACGGAGATAAGACATAGAGAGCGGACAGCACGCAATGAATGCCCCACTGAACGTTGGCATGGAGTGAGGGCGAAACTTATTAATGCGTCAGTAACCAAGTATGTCTATATACATTAAACTATATACGTTGTTTATAAAATGGGTGAGTTTTGGTCCGTATAGGTGGTCGGAAAAGTGAATGATTGAACAACTGGTATAGTGTTGGATGTTAAGTTAATTCACACATGACTAAACAGTGATTTGGGGAATGATAAAGAAGTCGATGTGTCTGTCGAGCGCGGTCAGTCTCCATACCTGGCTGACTGGAAGGAATGCCTGCGTGCGTGTGCCTTCGTCGTCCCTCCGCCAGGGTGCGATACACGATCAGTTCCACCTGAGGCTCCTGGCGAGACTCGGCAATTATGTCGTACACCTCCTCGAACGTCTTTCCCTGTAGCGATCGTCCGTTCCACTCTATCACTTCGTCACCTGGAGACAGAGAGAGAGAGGTACGGGTTACGGTCGGACCGAGAACGGGCGTCACAAGATGCGTAAAAGATGCAGCGGTGTGGAACAGAGATCACTGGGTAGTTCAGAGGCTTACACCTGAGATGCAAACTTGGGCGTAGTATTTCTGGGAGTCTTTAACTTATGTTGGTGTTTATATTCCCTGTTTAGCTAAGCTCAAATCTACGTGCATGTAGCGTGTAGCTTTGAGCACTTGAGCAGGTATGTGTGTTGCCCACATGTAGGGATGATAACCGTAACGGTATATCACTGCGCACCTGGCCTCAGGTGACCGACGCTGTCGGCGATGCTGCCCTTCTTGACCCGCTCGATAGCCGCTCCCAGCCGGTCGCCGCTGAGGCGCTTCCCTCCGACGACCTTGAGGCCGAGGATGGCCGCGCTAGACGCACTCTGACCGCCGGCAGCCTCCTTGACCGCCTTCTTGAGGATCATGTGGCCCACGAGGCGTGAGCCGTCCGCACTCGGCTGCCATGTTACTGGGTGCTGTCGGGAGCGTCGAGCACGGGTCATGAACACGACAGGTGTATGAAAGACGGGATAGAATACAGCAGTGACTCAGATACAGATAAATAACGCTCTTTCGCTCAGAATGCACATGAGGACAAGGCACTCACTGCTCACGTACTGCCCTACTCACTGCGGTAGTTCAAAAGCTGATAAAGCACAAATGAGTATCACTGGAAGAATGCAGATGTTCATCGGTCTCTGGGGCAGCACATCGGTTACATAAAGCTATCAAAGCTCAGGAGGATGGTCAATCAAAATAAAGGTTCCACTGTTTAAGTGGGAGGGAAGTGCCTCCCAAGCAGCGGTCTTGCGGGCACCGTAAACATAGGCAGCCAGCTGGTGATAGTTAAGAGCCTAAGGGTTCTTAGTTGTTCCAAAGGCACCACTGACATCCGCCACCTTCGAAACACTGAACTTATCCCTCCATCTGCGGCAGCGGACACTTTTGACACGTCTGCGGATGCGGGCACTTTTGACACATCTGCAGCCGACTGATCCCTCAGTGCAGCGGGGGAGGGCTCGCCACCCACCACCGGATGTGAACTTTCCACACAGCCGGTCTCATCCGGCCCAGACAGGGATGTACGCCGTCTATATCAAACGGTGCACCGGTACCGAGCAACCGCCTCCCAGTGGAGCAAAATGCAACGAACATCCGGAAGGCAGTGGGCCATCCCTGACCTTTGCCGGTGCCTCCCACGCAGGGGCGATCGGAGGTGACTGGATAGTGGTAATGCACCCACATGCACATCACCGGAGGCCCACGACCGCTGGCACACGGTGCCTTCGATAGAGGATAACTCCTCGGGGAGGCATCGCTGGCTTCATACAGCAAATGACGGCGCCTGTTTTCTTCATCATTAATGCTGAATTCAAACGTCTCTCGCCGATAGCACATCGGCACATCGGCGGGGCTAGAGAGTTACGTCTGGCACAAAACAGCCTGGCTAAGCAAAGAAAAAGGAGGCAGAAATGATATAAGAAAAGAAGGGTCTCTGACTCAGCTCTGTCTCCTCAGTTCTGGCCTCCCATCAGGCGCGCCTGTGCGGCGCCGGGTCTGATCTGGTCGGTATCGGACGTCCGCTGAGCTGGGCCACGAGTTATGAAGACACGCCGAGCGGGCCGCGGCGGGCGGCAGCTGAACACACGTGACCCACGGAATCCGGCCCGAAAATCGATGGTCGACCGCCGACCGCGCCGCGAGCCGAGCCAAGCGCGACCGACTTCGTATTTCGGCGTGCGCTATACGGCAGCACGGCACGAAACGCACTAGTTTGAGGCCTCGGCGTCCCACAGCGGTGGCACCAGCACCCACTGGTGCGGGTGGTACGATTTGGCGTGTGGGGGCACGACGAATGAAGGCGGGATAGCAGGGTAACAGCACCTTGTACAGTGGACAGACCGACACATTGGACAGTTGACGGCACAGTACCAACACGTCAACATGGAATGATGCGGTCCGCTTGGATATTAAAAGATGCTACACGCTATACGCCTATACCGAACACAGACATAGACAGCCAAGCAAAAGCTCATGCAGGCATGCATGCATGCATGAATTACAATGATCTCAACGTAGCATGCACGCTTTGATGACGATCCTAATAAACATACGCACATATGCTCTAGCAGGAACTTTGTCAGCGATAAATAAAGCAAATGCTCCTGTGACATGATCTTAACAGCTACTGTTGACCGACCATGCGAACGCCGAAGACATGCAAGGTAATGCACTGCTTAGGAACATTAAATGAAAATGTCATTGATCTAGCTCTTTTCTGAAGCTAGAAGACCGAATGCTAGCTAGTCTAGATAAATAGCAGCATCTATTTTCTTTTCGATAAGCTTTCTCTCGGAATAACACACCTGTCCGAAAATGCAGCTTTGTTATAACCGGTCTAAAGACAAAATAATCCTATAGGGCTCGAGAGCGAATGCACTTTGTTGTACCTTTGGGCTTTCAGTTTTCCACGATTCTTCGCTGGATGTGAGGCAGCTTGCAAGGTCGATGCCAGAGTCTCTAGTTTGAGATTCCTGAGAAGTTTGTTCCTCAAAGTCGCCGGGACCGGGGCCCGTGTACCCGTCAAATCTCACGACTTTCTTTCGTTTTTCAGTGCGGGCTCTCGCGTCGCCCATGCCAGCTCTGGACCGTGGTCGTTCATAGTAGTCCAACTCTCCTACGGCGAGTGAAACAACACACACACACACACAAACAAACAGCGTGTAAACAAAATGGAGACGAGCAGGCAGAAGGCAGTGGCGAGAGCGGCAATCAGTCGACAGCACTGACCACCAGAGCGAGACGTGAGCCAGCCAAACACGTACACAGACAGCAGAAAAAAGACAGAAGAGCTGTGAAGAGTTCATGCGCGGCACGTGGTCAGTGGCGGTGTGATCTCACCGCGAGGAAATTCTTTATTTTGGCGTCTAGCATCTCCTCTTGTTTCCATCTTGTGAATGGCTCGTGGTCGCCTGACCCTGTAACACAGCGGTTAGCGCCTGAAGGTCGCCATAAGGTTCTCACCTGGGGAAAGGAAGGTAGGGAGACCTACCTTTGCTTGGTGTGCCTAGTTTCAAGTTATGTTACCCCAGAATCTCGCACTAGTACTCACAATACTTACCCTGGTTACTCCTGTGCTCCTCGTAGGTGAGCAACTTGACCGGAGGTCAGCTATAAGACAGGCATGACCCTCGTGCCAACCCGTATGCCTTAATTCTAACGATGCCTGCAGTATCCGGGAGACCACGACCGACCATCCCTCCCGTCATGCCATGGTGTCCCTCTTCCCCCCCCCCGTTTTTCTCCTTGTCTCTCTCTCTCTCTCTCTCTCTCTCTCTCTCTCTCTCTCTCTCTCTCTCTCTCTCTCTCTCTCTCTCTCTCTCTCTGCGGTTTGTCACAGTCGGCGCCGTCTGTCCGCTGACAGCTCGCGGGTCACCCCCTGACGTCACCAGGGCGGTCCAGGGTGTGCTGTGTCCCGAGCGGGCTGCTCCTCACCGCCGCCCCGCGGCGGGCGCCGACCGCCGGGCCGCGGCACCTCGGACCCGCCCCCGGCCCGGCTCGGTCGACCCTCTCTGCGGCGCTCGGCTGGTCACTTACCGTGTGAACGGGTGGCGGCCACAGCAGGCGCTCCAACCGCGCCACAGCAGGCGCTCCAACCGCGCCACGGCCGCGGCCTCAGGGCACCATGGCGGCGCGCGCGGCTCGTCTGCGGCGCGCTCACCGACACTGTGTAACCGGCGGGCGGCGGCGCCGGCTCCGGCACTGGCCCGCTGGCGACTGTGTGCCAGTGGAGACGGGCCGGGCCAGCGGCGGGATCAATACAGAGGCCGCGTGGCTGGCGGCCGGCCCGTCAGCGCAGCGGGCGCCGCCGGACACCGACGACCGTCACCGCGCCGCCGCCGGCACCGTCCGCACCGGGCGACAGGGCCACCGCTGGGCCACAACACCCCTTCAGTGGGCAGTAACAGCCCCTCAGGGGGCCACAGCACCCCCTCAGGGAGCCACAACACCCCTTCAGCGGGCCACAAGACCCCTTTAGTGTGCTGCAACAATCCCCTACTGGGCCAAAGCACCCCTTAGTGGGACGCAATACGCCCTCAGTTGGTCACAGCACCCCCTTAGTGGGCCACAATACCCCTTTATTGTTCCACAGCAACTTCAAGGGGCCAAAACACACCCTTATGGGCCACAACACCCCTCAGTGGGCCGCAATAACTCCTCAGTGGGCCAGTCAGGGTCCTCATTGTGATGGCTCATCAGAGGACGTTAATATCCAGCCAGGCTCACACCCCTGTCAGCTGGAAATGTTCTAACCAGGTGGCAAAGTTATCGGTAAAGAATACCTCCGCCTGGCCATTGTTTCGAGTCATACTGTCCTTACCAGTAACTGGCATTGTCCAAAGCCAAAGTTCCATTAGACATCACCGTCCTGATTGGATAACAGTCCGTCTCGCCGAAACAAATCATGGGTCTGGATGATACTGTCCTTACTATGTGGCATCATGCTCACGGAATGAGGTATACTGATCGGACGACATCGTCCTTACTAGTGACACCATTCTTTTCGGCTGATACATCTTCTCTAGTCTCTGGATGATACCGTCCTCAGAACATGATACACCTCACCGGGTGATGCCGTCCTTACAAAATGATGCCGTTCTTGTCGGCTGATGTAGTTTTTTTCTGTCATCTGGACCATATCGTCCCCATTGAATTTTACCCTGCCACTGGACCATATCGTCCCCATTGAATTTTACCCTGCCACTGGACCATATCGTCCCCATTGAGTTTTACCTTGTCACTGGACGATATTGGCCCTCAGAATTATACCTTGTCACTGGAACATATCGTCCCACTGAATTTTACCTTGTCACTGGACGATATTGGTCCACAGAATTTTACCTTGTCACTGGAACATATCGTCCCACTGAATTTTGCCTTGTCACTGGACGATATTGGCCCACATAATTTTACCTTGTCAATGAAACATATCGCGTCCCACTAAATTTTGCCTTGGCAATGGACCATATCGTCCAACTCAATTTTACCTTGCCGCTGGACGATATTGTCCCCTTTGGGCCAAAGGTGTGGCCGATATCGCACCTTTACTGACCGATAACGTTCCGAAGGGACCAGATGCGTCTTGTAAATGCTACTTTTTGGTGTGTGACAAGCGTCATGTTTTCCGAACGAGTGACTGTCTCGAACAATACTTTCTCCACTAAACGTAAATAATCATCCAACCCTCTTGAGTTCTTCGGCGACTGATAAGTTACCAGCCGTGTCAGGTACTGGCAATACAAGCTCTAGGTATCCGTGTACAGTCGTTGGCTTACGTCTGCTCTGTTCATGAACGTCCACTTTAAGATTGAGTTCAATGGCATAAAAAAATGTTCACTAGCAGATGACATCCGAAGGTCCTCTGCCATCGATACCTATAGCTAGATGATAATTTGTTGAACGATAAAGTAAAGCAAGTACGATGCTGCTCCATAACGGACATTTACGAGCAGCATAATGCGCGGAGGCGTCGGCACCATTAATCAATTTCGAGCAGCTTTTTTCAGAGTTCAGAGGTAAGAATAGCCCCTTCCAGTGGCGCAGCCAGGGGGGGTCAGAGGGTCAGCTGACCCCCCCGAAATTTCTGTCAGGGGCCCGCTCGAGAGAGAGAGTGTGAGAGAGAGAGAGAGAGAGAGAGAGAGAGAGAGAGAGAGAGAGAGAGAGAGAGAGAGAGAGAGAGAGGAGAGAGAGAGGTCCTAATCTAATCGGACGAGCCCGCTTCGAGAAATGCCCACTGCGACACCTCGGGTGAGGGGTCGGCCTGGGGCCCCAGGTGGACAGGGCCCGGGCCCCCAGGAGAACGGGCCCGGCCCCCTGGGTGGATGGGACCCGGGCCCCCTGTAGATGGGTCCGGGCCCCCGGGTGGATAGGGCCCGGGCCCCCCGGCGGATGGGGCCCCGGTGGATGGATCCGAGCCACCGGGAGAACGGGCCCCGGGTGGACGGGGCCCGGACCCCCGGGTCCCGCGAGAACGGGTCCAGGCCCCTCGGGTGGATGGGGCCCGAGGCTCCGGGAGAACGGGCCCGGGCCCCGTGGGTGGAGGGGGCCCGGGCCCCCGGCTGGATGGGGCCCGGGCCCCCGGGAGAACGGCCCTGAGCCCCGGGTGGACGGGGCCGGACCCCCGGTTGGATGGGGCCCGGGCCCCGGGAGAACGGACCCGGGCCCCCTGGGTGGATAGGGCACGGGCCCCTGGGTGGATAGGGCACAGGCCCCGGGTGGATGGGGCCCGGGCCCCGGGAGAACGGGCCCGGGCCCCTTAGGTGGATGGGGCACGGCCCCCCGGGTAGATGGGGCCAGGGCCCCCCGATGGATGGGTCCGGGCCCCCGGGAGTACGGACCCCAGGCCCCGGGTGGACGGGGCCCGGGCCCCCGGCTGGATGGGGCCCGGGCCCCCTGGTGGGCGGGCCCCGGAGCCCCGGGTGGACGAGGCCCGGAGCCCAGGTGAACGTGGCCCGGGCCCCCGTATGGATAGGGCTTGGTCCCCCATGTGGATAGGGCCCGAGCCCCCGGGTGAATGGGGCCCGCTAGGGTGACCCGCTTGCTTCGCAACGCGAATAAGGGGTATTTTCGATCGGTGGGCGTTTGGTTGGTCTTGTGTCTGTGGGTTATGTATCCATTACGGTCGATTGCCTTTTGACGGCTAAGCATTTTGGTTTTGGGAAAAAATATCCATCGCATCGAGGTGCTCGTGTCTGATAATAACCATGCGTTCTACTATAGAACATGCCAAGTGTATTTCATGACATAGGTTGGCGTAGGTTATTGAAGAGTGAAAGCCATCGATGAATTACTATGTAGAGGTTTGAAACATTTATATTCTTAAGAATATTGTTGCTCGTCATGCAGAAGCGATGATTGGACCTTGGTCACAATTGAATGCTCTTCCAATCTATGCCCATTTCAATTGTCAAACATACCAGGTTATGTAGCAAAACCCCTGTAATTAAGTTAGTCATAAGCAAATGCTATTTTCTCCAGCAATTTGTTCCACCTTGTTTTTGATCAATTAGCTTTTCACAATTTTCCCATGAGAGGCGGTAGGTACATTTCTCTTGCCAACAAGCGTTGTTTGAACCCGCTCCGTCTGACAGTCACCCAAAAATAGCATTAAGTCCAAAATCCGTCCAAAACGTCAATTTTTCAAGCATAAGTGCCCTCACGGGTGCACGTGGCGCGTGCCATCTCTGCACCGCACACCATTCGATAGCCCGTTCGATTCTCATGCACGATACTGTGTTCCTCGTGCCGATCGGACCCACGGTTACCGAGATACTGCACGGGGACCGGACCCGTGTCGGGCAAGTTGAGCCATTGTCGCCCATTTTTGCAAGCCGATTTATGCATGTAAAGTCTATGACGCGAATTTGCACTTTTTGAGCACGCGCCATGTGCTCACCACCGGCCCGATCGAGCTGTGACTCTTCACAGACACGTTACCCATCCTTGTTCTATAAGTTGCGCGAATTTCAGCGCACTATGGAAGTTACGTCGCGATCAGCCGCTTTTTTACGCGAGTTCTTCGCGAAAAAACCTTAGGGGGTTGCATCAACCCCTCCCCCCTGTGCCGGCGAGGGTTAAAACTTCTTACGAGCGAATTCACGTAATGAAGAAGAATAAAAGCACAATCTACTACAGCAGCCAATAGATGACTTAGGACAGGCACATGGGACTACTTTTAAATCTTGTGCGACAGAAGCAGGCAACAGTTCCGATTGCATATAATATGCTATGCATATTGCGGAATTGGGGCTCATATCGGACTCGAAAGATACGAAGTCATACGTCATAGTAACATATTTCTGTCGTGGTCAATTTGCGTAAAAAGTGAAGACCGGGTGATTACCGAGCTACTGTTCTATGCAAATTTTCTGATTCAAACTCGCTCAGGGTTATCGTGCAGGTAAAGGGGGCCCAGCAGAATGCGTATGAAATATGGAGAGATTCTGAAAAATGGGTGGGGGCCCGCACACTAGGGGGCCCGCTTTGGAAGCGATGACCCCCCCCCCCCGAAACGAAATCCTGGCTGCGCCACTGGCCCCTTCTACCCACAATATCAGGCATGAAGAATTTGACACAGAAGAGAATTTGACCTTCGGGATGGACGAAACAACTCACCAGCTTTTTTGTGATGGACATTACATCAATGGCTACGAGATGCAGGCCGAAATTCCAGATGCGTGCAGTGACTTGAATAAAGTGTTGACAAAACAGCCATTAACGTTTTTACCCTCGCCAAACATATCGCTTTTAGACAAACGCCCCTGGCCAAAGATGGCGGGTGCGACTACGAACCCTGCACCGTGTCACCTCTGATTAGCTACAGCTTCGGGAAAATAAGATTCGTGTGTTCGCCGTTAAAAAACGCAGCATGTAGTATTCAATTTTAGACGCTTAGATCAACCGTTTTATATTCACTTTTGAGTTGGAAGGGTCAAGTAACTGACTTGACCTCATATAACCGTTAAGATGTGAGATATATCCTACAAGCAAAGACTCGGGATTCTGTAACTTCCTGAGAGTTGCCCAGCGAGAAATTAGCCGTTTTCACGACAGGCTATCCAGCGGATGCACCTAATTTGACCAAATCTGCACCTTATTTCTTTCTAAGCAAATATCTTTATTTTATTAATTTATTTCAGTGTTTACTCTCTGATAATATGACAAAGGACTAAGGAGGCATATAAGCAATTAGTGCAACCCTAGCTGATAGCTTCTAAGAGATACACTGAACCTAATTTGACCAAATCTGCACCTAATCTGCACCAAATATGCATCAAATGTGTACGAGATTGTCGTCGTGAAAACGGCTATTATCTGGCACTGAGAGCGCTACGAGTTTTCGAATTTTCGAGACGCACGTTGGTCCACCCATCTAAGATGTAGAGTGTATAGACATTAGACATCATAGGTCGGTGACCTCACCTGACCTGAAAATGTTTTTGGTATGGAATGATTCTTCTTCACTCAACGGTAAGATATAGACAAATTTTAACTTCCACTACCTCCAGCAGGAATCAACAGCCGCAAAAATGTAGTTAAACGTTCAGATCTCAGAGTCCCCAAAGAAGTGAGCCAGAAAATAGATTCCATTGCCCAGATGATCGGTTATTTTAATAATAAAAAAGGGCCTCTTGATATGGGCACTGGACATTTTTACGAGCCGAGTTTAGAAATAAGAATATCTTACTTAATTATCACCATTGTATCTTACTTCATTCTAAAACAAAATATTGTATCTTACTATAAACATTCCAGATGCATGACTGAAAATCATAAAGCGGCCTCTGTTGACCCCTCCCCGGCGTCTGGCCGGTGGGTGGAAGCCCATTAACTATCGGGTTAATAAGCAATAAACCTGCCGTTGACGTAATCACAATGAGGTCGAGTCGGTCTCTCCTCTAAATTCATCGGCTCCAGGAAAGCCCGAGTCACTGAGCACTGAGGCAGCGCTGGTTTTGATGACGTCATGAGAAGCCTGACCGTGGGACGTCGGACATGCTCCTCCTTAGAGTCGTTGACGTAGCGACCTTGGTGCCGATGGGCAGACACCGTGGCAAAAAAGCGGCAGCTTACAACAACGACTTTAGGGAAATCGACTGAGCGGGCCTCTGATTTTAAGTACTTGTTCGAATGACAATAAACAGCGTGTAATGGTATATGCTAGTCGGACCACAACATTAGTTCGAAAGCTCCTGTTTCCTCCGCGTTCTTTCCCACTTCCCTCCTCTCGTTTTGTTCGCGTCTATTCCCGACAAGGCCGTTTCGAGACTCACCAATGCCCTGCCGCTGCCCGGTGTGAACCCACCTTTCTCAGAGATACTCTCAGTGCTCTCCACCTCCTCCTCGCCACCGCTGGTGCACTCGGGCGTCGAGCGGATCTCGTCGTCACTGGAGCTGACCGAGTGCTGCCGCGTGCGCCGGCGGTGCTTGTGCGGCTTCGGCGGCGGCGGCCGTACCGACTCGGACTGGTCCGAGCTCAGAGAGTCAGTGCGCACCTCGATCTTGCGGTGCCGGCCGGGCGTGTCCAGGTGGGTGCGCCGCAGCTCGTCGGATGGGTACAGTGGCCGCAGCTCGTCGGCACTCTCGGGTAGCAGTCGGCGTGTGTAGCCGCACGCCGAGCTGGCGCGCTCGCCGCCCGGCCGTCCGCGCACCGCCGCGGCGGCTGCGGCGGCGGCCGCTGCTGAGGAGCCGGCGGCCGCGCGGGACGGCTCCGGAGGCGGCCGGTCGTGCGAGTACTGGCGGCGCAGCTCGCGGCCCTGCAGGCTGCCGGCGCGCGAGAGCTCGCGGCCCTGCAGGCTGGAGGTGCGGTGCAGCCCCATCCGGCCGCGCTCCGCCTCCGAGGTGGGTGTGGCCGCCTCCGAGCGCAGGTCCGCCTCCATCCTGCGCCGGATGTCGTCGCTGTGAGAGCCCATGCCGCCCTGGATCCACTTGCCCGTCTTGATCAGCAGCTCCTGCTTCTTTCGGCATAGGATGCAAACCCATATTACCTGAAAGGGAACAGAAAGCAATGGATTGAGGCTAAGTGAACTGTTTTAAAATAACAAGTAGTTGTTAATGAAGAGCATCTAAATAGTAAAGCTGGTAATGATGCTGCCGGATACTTTCAGATTTTGCAAAATTAAACCGAATATTAGTCAATTCGGGAGGCGGATGTTATTCCTTCCCGTAGCCTTCCTTGCGCGTTCTTTCCCACTTTCCTCCCTTGTGTTTCCATTCGCGTCTATCCCCAAAATCCGACTTTTGCTTACCTACCTACTTTCTGGGATATATTCAAGTACTCAAAAGCTCGTCACGGAAGATAGCTAATAGAACAATATCGGTCGAATAGCAAACGCCAAACAAGCATAGACGCAGAGATCGCGTCGTCACATCAAGTCAGCCCTAGAGAGACGGTCGTGCCAACTGCGAGCGCCAAGAGACGGTCGTGAAAACTGCGAATGTTGAGAGACGGTCGAGGACGTAGCGCCACGGCAGAGAGCAGCAGCGTTACTGGGGCATCTGGCGGCGGGAATCAATGACAAGTCGATAGCTGGTGCTCGCCTGCCGGCGCAGTGTAACTCAGTAATTGATTGGAGGTCGGTGCGGCGGCGTGGCTGCCAGCTCGCCGCAGCCGCGCCGCCAGCGCCGCTCGATTCGCGCTGCGACGTGGCCCGGCGCGCTACAGACAATATCGCCGGGCGCTCCGCTGCATAGCTACGCACCCGAACTGCAGGGGAGGGGAAGGGAGGAGGGCGGGGAGAGGACGGAGGAGGGAGGAGGGAGGAGGAAGGATGGAGAAGGGGGAGGAAGGAGGAGGGAGGAGGGAGGACGGAGGACGGAGGAGGGAGGAGGGAGGAGGGAGGTGGGAGGAGGGAGGAGGAAGGAGGGAGGAGGGAGGGGAGAGGAGGTAGGAGGGGCCCGGGGGGAGGGAGGAGGGAGCAGGGAGGAGGGAGGAGGGAGGAGGGGGGAGGGAGGAGGGAGGAGGGAGGAGGGAGGAGGGAGGAGGGAGGAGGGAGGAGGGAGGAGGGATGGAGGAGGGAGGAGGGAGGAGGGAGGAGAGAGGAGAGAGGAGGGAGGAGGGAGGAGGGAGGAGGGAGGAGGGAGGAGGGAGGAGGGAGGAGGGAGGAGGGAGGAGGGAGGAGGGAGGAGGGAGGAGGGAGGAGGGAGGAGGCATGATGGACGATGAGCAAGAGAGAAGGGAAGAAGGAGACTTAAGGGAGGATGTAGGAGGGAGGACAGGAAGGGAGCGTTAACTGACCTCCCCGATCCATTGTTTAGCCTCCCCGGAGCGTCTACTGACCTTGCCGGAGCGCAGAGTGACCTTGCCGCTGCACTTGGCACAGCACCGGATGGAGCAGTAGTTGCACGTGTGCCCGATGCCGTCCGCGAACTTGGTCTTGAGGCAGATCTGGCAGGTGGCGTCCAGCTCGACGCCCGCCTTGCGCTGCTGTTCCCCGCGCTGTCGGATGCGGTCCTCCAGGAGCCGCACCTCGTCCTGTTTCCTCCTGCAGGGGGGACAGAAACGGCCCGATTACTATAGGCCCAGGTCGGGTCGTTGGTAGTTCGCAGGTTCTGAATTTGGAGATAAAATATTTCAACTTCCGTTTGCTGATTAAAAATGCACTTTTCCGAGTCTTTATTAGCAGGATATAAGAACAGCGTTACCGCCAATGACCCCATCTTAAACGCGCATACATCATCCACGCTGTGACCCCCCCCCCCCCCCACACCTCGCCTGACGCTGCATCAGCAGCAGATCAGCTCAGCACGCTGATGACCAGGTCGGGTCGGGCCCAGTATCAGACCAGTGACCAGTGAACCACGTCCGGTGCCCGCCGATACCAGCGGCCGGCGACACTGGGTCCTGCTGGTCAGTCAGCCACGATAGGCCGCCGGCCGCGGCGCCACTCTACCAGCTCAGCACGAGCCGTGTGATGTATGACCGCGCGAATGGCCGGCTATTCGGGGGTGGTGCGCGCCGCTCCGACCGCCCCACGCACCCACCGACCGTATAATATATCTCATAAATGTGTTATTATACAGGCAGTGGCCGGCGCTGGGGCGCGGAGAGTCTCCAGGCGTGGTGCGGGCGCCAAGCTGGCGTCAACACTGCGGCATCTCGGTAGGGAACCAGGCACTGGTGGTAGTCAGAAAACGGACGAGTGCCAAGAAAAGGTCGGCTGTGTCCGGGTCTCTGCAGCTATCCGCCTTTGTTGCCTGTAACTATGTGTGGGTGGGCTACACACAAAGGACGTTATCTGAAAAAGCGCTATAAATAACGTTTGCATCCTCTACGAATAGCGTGAAAGTAAGGCGAAGATGTGCTGATCAGGGGCCCGGGAACGATTTTCAAGTTGGGGGGGGGGGGGGGGCGAGCCTAAAATACCTGACATGATGCATATGAAACAGTGGCGTAGCTAGGGGCCTAAGGGGACACGTGCCCCCCCCCCCCATTCGGGTCCGAGGGGCCCTGCGGCGCCATTTGACCGCTGAAGGTCAAACCGCCGACCGCCCCATGGGGCTCGTTAGAGCACCTCATGGGCCCTAAATAGCCACACTAAGATCTCCATAAGGGCCCCACGCCGGCTTCTGAGGGCCTCTTGCGCCTAATCAGGGCACCTCGGTGGTCTCCAAAGGCTCGTTACTGGCCGTGGCCTCTGAGAGTCCTTACCGGCCTATGAGGGGCCAGTTCTAGGGGCATTTCCCGCCTGTGATGGTCCCACACTTATTTTTTCTGAGGGCCCCATAACGGCAACTATGGGGCCCTCATCGGCGCTTATGAGGACCCACGCCGGTGTCTCTGAGGGTTTCACACCCAACTCTGAGTGCCTACACCAGTGCCTATTAAAATTAAGCCCTGTATCGGCAGCTCTGAGGACCCAACCAACACCTGCGCTGCGCATCTATGTAAAGGCCACCCACTGGTGACTTTTGAGGGTCCCACACCGGTGAGTCTGAGGGCCCCACCGGCGTCTGACAGTACCATGCCGGTCTCTGAGGACCCCACAGGACTTCTTCTGCCGGCCTAAGGACCCCTTGCCGGTCACTGAGACCCCCTGCCGGCTTGTAGAGAGTTCGCGTCAGCAGGTCTAAAGCCCCCACACCCGTCTGTACTGCTCCACACCAGCGTCTATGAGGGCCCACAGCAACGCCTGTAAGGACCCTCATCGGCGCCTCTGAGAGAATCACACTAGCACCTCTGAGCGCCCACACCGGCACCTGCATGACGGCCCCACACCGGTGCCTCTAAAGGCCCCTTACCGGCGGCTCTGAGGGCCCTACGCCGGTGATTCTGAGGGTGCTACCGATAACCGAAGGCACCACATAAGCCCTTAGTGTCGCTGAGCTTTAATCCCATACCGGCCCTCTAATGTATCCCATGCATCCCATCCCATACCGAGGGCGCCACGTCAGTGCACTCATTGCCCCACACCCCTCCCTCACACCCGGAGCGGGTAAACTGTGTTATACCTATAGCAACGATTTTACCACCGTTGTACGCTATGCATTTCTCAAGTTGACTCAAAATGCTCCAGTGTAAAACTGGCCTGCACCAAGCTTATGGCCAAGGTCAGGCCCAAATCAAAGCGGGATGACAATAGCAGATGTTGTAAAATCGATACTGTATCAGCAGAAACCATTCAGATGGCAAGGAAAATGCCGTGTGGTGATGTTTAGATGTATAAAGGAAACAAGAAGGAAAGAAGTCCGGAAAAGGGAGGAAAGACCTTTTCTCGCTGCCTCAATGTTGAGGGGGCGCCGCCCCCTCGGCTCCCAAGTTGGGGGGGGGGGGGCAAGCGCCCCCGCTGCCCCCCCCCCCCCCCGGTTCCCGGGTCTATGCTGCTGATCGATCGTAATGGTTATGAGCATCACATATTGGTGTTAAAAGACACCTTCATGATTGGTAAGTCTTGAACCTATATGCAGCAATAAGCAGCTCTTACCTATTACATTAAGCTTAAAAGTAGACCACAGGAAGATATGTTCAATAATAATCTAGACATCTTCAACGATAATCAACCCTAAGGTCTGCTCACTGCTGAGCTGTATTTCAGATGAAAAAAGAGTAGGTAGGTACCTAACTATCTTTGCAATATACAATTTCAGTAGTTCAACTGCTGTTTTAGCAAGCCATTCAACATGTCCTCCTACCTCCAAAATTATAATATGGCCAGTAAGCTGTAAGCAATAAGCAATAAGCATGCAGCATTGTCAGTTCTCGGACTGGATTCAGAGTAGGTAACCGAAGGTTTGTTGTCAATAGTTAAAACACTATTCTTTAGAATTGTGTTTTTCTATTGAAAAACAAATTTGAGTTCCCTGACAATTTGGCAAAAGCTGCCTGAGTATACTGTACCGCATCGCACCCGTGTGCTGCGGGCCAGCCTACCTCACAGTTGGAGCCTGAAACGCTCAGTTACTTCCCCGGGCGGCCGATATGGACGGGCCTGTATGAATACGTGACATCCCGTTCTTCGGAATGCATTCATTTTGTTTATTTTCGTGACGAGTGGTTTTAACGATTATTTTTATAAACGAGTTGGGGACAAGCTCAGTAAAAAGAATCTCTTTAGATATCAATGCATGAAACGTCTCAGCGTCATGCTCTTCCACAAGAAAAAACTAACAAATGCACTTCTAAACCCATAGCAACAAATGTGATAGGCGCCGATACTCTATGAACATTTTTTAAATGCTCTCCCAAGTGTGATGAATAATTATTCATCATGAATAATTGATTATAATCAATGGGGAACTCATCACTGATCATATACGAGTACGAAAGTCTATCAAATAAAAGATACCCATCGCTAAGCAGCCAAGGAACTTTTGACCTTTTAGTTGCGCTTGGAGCGTCTGATGTTGTTGTATGCAGCAGAGCTTGTATGCAGTAGAGCTTCAGCTTAATGTTATATACCTATTCTTAATGTATTGGCTTAAATAAATAAGCATTATGCATTATGCATAATAAACTGCACTTCACCTATGGAAGTTTGTTCTAGAAACATTGCCAAGCCGTACAGAACAACCGAAGTTGGAAACATGCATCCTGGCTACTGATTCCGATCACCATATTTCAATAACGGACCTACAATTATTACTATACTATGAGTACATGTAAGTGATTTTATATCGATGGGGAGACACTAGACAGGTATGTTGCTGATCACTTGGTCAACTTGGCTGATCATCCGCTACAGTATTTTGATGTGGCTTTAAATTAGAGGGCCAAATTGTACAAATCAACGAAGATTGTTCTCGGGTAGTTTCAATATGAAGGGATTCAGCAGATACCTACAGCGAAACAAGACGCATGGCGAGTACCTTCGCACACAAGGCTAGCAAGATACATTTACGACCTAGCATGACCTGGGGACGGACGAGCTGCAGGTATCGCCACGTCTCGCTCGAGCCTCGCGGTGCCCCGTCCCCGGGCCGCGTTCCGTGCTGGCGGTCTGCCCGGTCGCTGGAGCGGCCAGCAGCCCCCCAAGGTCGCCGGCCGGCCGGTCATTGATTGGTGGGTCGGCCCGGCGAGAGAGGAGGTGGCGGCCCAACTGGCGGCCGACCCAACGGTCGATCGCACCCGGCGCCATGCACACGTCACTGGTTCCACTGGTTCCGGCGGCGGGTCAGCAACGGTCAGGTCAGCGTTAGGTAAGAGTTGGGTCACATCTGGTCAACAGGAGGTCCTGATCGTCAGGTCAGGTCCAAGGCAGGTCAGGTCAAACAGGCAAGTTAGACGTCACATTTGTATATTTAGGTCTAAGCCTTTAACCCACAAAAGTTTGAGAAATTAGAAAAAGTATGGTCAACAAAGTCAATTTTAAATTTGATTTTGGGCAACAAGGAGTATCTAACTGACGCTGCTCGCAACAAGGAATCTAATGTTAGTTTGCTGCCAAGTGGTCTAAGACGACTAAAAATAACTATAGCTTGAAAATGTAGCGTCATAATGAGGAGGCACTTCCATCCAGTACGGAGGGGGGGGGGGGAGTTTTACGTAACATTTCTGGGTTTATGGAAAATAAGCCAAGGAAAGCACACCACTCGTGACGACCCTATGACAAGCGGACGAAAGGCTTCTTGCAGTATCATCTATGTTTCGCTTGCTATGTCTTTGTGTCCGTCTTGATATTTGCAAGGGATTATATCGGCCTTTTTTGCTCACGTTCCAGCGAAACGTTGCGTCACAGCCCGGGCGCGGACAAAGACCATGCCGTCCCAGTAATGGGTTTTGCCTGATGTTGCCCTGACCAGCGCATGGAACAGATGGCGAGACTCCGCTGTCAGCTCCGGATCGCTCGGCCGGTCCACACTCGTACTGATGGTGGCGCGAAAACAGGAGGCCAACAGCGAACCATTCAAATTAAAATACATCCTACACACCTTCACTTTACTTGTGAAAGGTGATTGCGTTTGCGTTATCATTTCAATATTGCGTTATCATATTACGTTTCAACATGGGTTATTCTTCTCACGAAATGATGTCATCACTCCCTGGTAC